AAGCAAGCTTGTTTCTAACTTACATAAAAAAGGAAGAAAAAAAAAAAGAAATGTAACCAGAGGCTGGTGAGACATGTGTGGAGATTGTGCGGAGCAGAGACAGCTGTGGAGAGAGAAACAGAACTGTGGTGTGAAAACTTGAAGCTGCAACCAGGAGCTATTCATCCTAGAAGATGGTTCGCTTTCCTCCTGTAAATGGAATTTCTTGTCCCACCAGGTCCCGTGACTGCCCAAAGAGGCACACAGAGACATATATTAATTATGAAATTGTTGTCTGATGACTAGGCTTCTTATGTATGTATCTCCACATGGTCTTGACTTACCAGAGAATGTCCAGACCTGTTAATCCTTTTGCAGCTACATGGCTTCTCTTTGTGGTCTCTGTCTACCTACCTTTTCCAGAAATCTCCTAGTTCTGCCTATATTCCTGTGTCTATTGGCCAGATAGTGCTTTATTCATCAATCAATAAGAGATGACACATATACAGAAGGACATCCCCCATCACTCCTCCACTTGGTCAAGTCCCACTGGGTTGTGGGACGTGAGGCTGGAACACCACACAGAATCTTGACGGTGCAACAACAGTTAACTCAGGAAGAAGGGTCTTTCACAAGCTTTCAGAACACCAACTGCAGGGATGCTGTGTGTGGGACCCAAGAGACCAGGCTGAAACTTGCAGGTAGGGAACTGTGGTGGGTCTTGCTGTGGGATAGTCCTTCTGTACACTGTGTGAATATATGTTGCTATGATTGGGTTAATAAGCAAGAGCTTATTAGTAACAAGCCTGAGCATTTATAATTAATATAAGCCTCAGTGTGTTTATTTGAGAGTGGCTACAGAACAGGAATACTCCAGCCCTTTCTCTGTCCTGTCAGCCAGCTCCCAAATAAAGACACAGAGACTTTTAGTAATTATGAAAGCCCACCTTTAGCTTATGCTTGTTTCTAGCCAGCTCTTAGAACTTAAATTAAACCATTTCTATTAATCTACGTGCTGCCACATGTTTCGTGGCTTTTACCTGTCTTCATGCACATTGCGCTTCCTCTGTGTCTGGCTGACAACTCCCCTTTCTTCTTCCAGAGCTTTCTCTGTCTGAAAGTCCCTCCTATACCTCCTGCCTAACTATTGGCCACTTAGCTTTTTATTAAAGCAATCACAGCAACATATTTTTATACAGTGTAGTCAAACACCTTGACACATTTCCCCCTTTTTGTCTAGATAAAAAGGAAGGGGTTTTAGCTTTAATGTAGCAAAACTATAAGAACAATTATCAGGTAAGAATTACATTTACCATGTTTAGTTCATATGTATTTGGCAAGTTTGGAGAAATTACTCTTTTATCTGTCTTACCTTGATGAGTTCAAAGTTTTATACCTAAACCATTTTTTATCATAACTTGTATTTACCAATGTAAAACTATCTCTTGAGTCCTCAAAACTTTTCTTAGATAAACAATTTAAGCTTTTGTGTCTCTCAGCCTTATACTCTTTATATCTCTTTTGTGAGTTTTTTAAAATTTGGTAACAAGAAATACTGTAATAGCTTTTAAATCCAGCATTTGAGAGGCAGAGGCAGGAGGATCTCTGTGAGTTTGAGGCCAGCCTGGTCTACAAGAGCTAGTTCCAGGACAGCCTCCAAAGCTACTCAGAGAAACCCTGTCTCAAAACAACAACAACAACAACAACAACAACAACAAAAGACTGTAACTACGTCTGTCTCAAAAGCTACCAAACTGGCAACAAAGATCATCAAAATGATAATAAACAGTATGTCAACCCTGGTTAAATTGGCGATCCCTTCATTATTTGTTCCATTTTTAAAACAATCATTATGTAATCTTATGGAGGCTTAATTCTCTCCATTTTAATATTATTTTCCATTTTTTAGTGTGGGCAAAAATCTCTCTCTCTCTTTCTCTCCTTTTTTAACTCATACCTTCCTTTAAGAATTTCCAACTGACTTACCAAATCTCCTGACAATGTCAGTGAACTGTGAGGTGTAGCATGCCTGAATCAGAGAACTAGCTGCGACCTGAGAGTCTCAGTCTGAGGAGAGGCATGTGAGAAAAGCCTGAAACCCTCCTGAGTTTGGGTGGCAGCTGAAAACTGTTTAGAAAAGCTACAACCAAAAAATTCCACACTTGCTCAATATTTGAGGAGAAAACAAAAGAAAACCTAGCTGGTCAGTCAGGAACTCAGGCAGGAATCCTGCCTGCAGTTCAGGCTTTGACCTGGGCTGGTGGCCTCAAACCTGCTTTTTTTCTGACTCTGTACCCCACATTGGGGATTATTGTAGCACAAAAAAGTAAAGACCCAGAGACAGATATTGAGGTTCAAGCTTCAAGTGGAAGATCAGAGAAGCAAAGCAGCCAAGCCAGTAGATTAGCAAGAAGTGTTCATGTCATTATTTGGGAGCTGGCTGGAGAGACAGAGAAAGACTCACTAAACATGGGGTCCAGTGTCCAGTGTCCAGCCACATATATCCACATGAGGACCCAGAAAACTAAAACAAAAAGTCAATCATGGCTTCCTGGTGACCAAAGTCTCTTGGATAGGCTCAGCATCCAGCTAAAATGGCGATCCTGTCTCCACAAATCCTCAGAGGCAAAAGCTCTCAGTTTCTGTCTCCTCCTCTTTTTCCATCCTTCGCCCAGCCATATCACTCCTGTCTCCACTTCCCTAGTGCTGGGATTAAAGGTGTGTGATCCCAGGAGCTGAAATCAGCTTTGTGTGAGCTGTTTCTTGTAAGGCTGGATCAATTTCATGTAGTCGGTATAACCATCAACTAACAGAGATCCATCTACCTCTTAACCCTGAGTCCTAGGATTAAAGATGTGTACCACCACCGCCCAGCTTCTATAGCTGACTAGTGTGGCTGGTTGTGCATCCTGAGCCCTCAGACAAGCTTTACTAAATCATAAATAATATATTATCACACTGTGACAGTTGAGGTTGTCCTGGAACTCAGCACTGTAGACCAGGCTGGCCTTGAACTCACTGAGATCCGCCTGCCTCTGCCTCCCGAGTGCTGGGATTAAAGGTGTGCGCCACCACCACCCGGCTTCATGACTATTCTTTATCATCAGCCATCATACTGTCTCATCCTGTGACAAGCTAGCCTGGCCTTGGTAGAACGAGTCAGTGCAAAGTTTCCCAGCAAGCTCTCTGCTCTCATGCACTGAGCTTTGGGGTGAGTCCAAGTGACCGAAGTTTCTGTGAGGTGAGTGTGCTGACCCCTGGGGTAGTAGAGGGGTCAGCCACCACCTCTGCTGGTACAGTTCACTGACCTCTGGGCTGACACGTGAGTGGCCAAAGCCTGGTTTGTCTAGTAGAGAGGGAATACACGCTTTTCTCAGGAGGTCTTGGAACCTGCAAGATCACATTATTGACCCCAAAAAGGCCTAAAGAGGAGCAAAGAATCAGAACAATTCTTTGTGTCTGATCAGATTACAACACCATAGAATGGGAAGCCAACAGGAAGGAAAGCCATGGGGTTACACAGTGCTCAGAGACAGACCAATACACATTTTGTGTGCCCGTACCTTTTCTCTTAGTTCTGTTTCAAGATTGTGTCCTGGTTTTGACAGGTATTTTGGACACCACGATAGCGGGTTTCTCCGCTGAGGCAGTAAACCAGATCAAGCCGAATTAAAAGTAAAGAACTATGTTTAATCTGAGAAAAGCACTCCCAGGTGACCCTGCGGGGAGCAGGGTAAAAATCACAGGTCTAGGGACTGGAACTTAAACACTTGTAAGCTCGGTCTTGAGCTTTGGGGACGGAGCTGCCACTTGGCAGGCCTCCTGAGAGGGGCTGGGTTTGGAATCAGGGGAGTGGACCAAAGCAGAGCTTTCAACTAAACAGGTTTTTAGGGGATGCTGTCTGTTGATGTGAACTCAGGAGTGGGGAAATCACAACAGATTCAGATGAAATCTAGAAGTTAGGGAATGCTTCAAAAACTTACATTCCAAACGCTCAAATACATGGATAAATTCCTAACCATATATAACCTACCAAAATCAAATCAAGACTATGTAAACAATTAAAACAGACCCACACCAGCAATGAGAGCGGGACAGCATTGTAATTCCCTCCCCTACTTAGAGCATGGTCAACCAGCCAGGGGCTGCATCACTGAGGAAAACTGAGTCACCCTTTCCAGCCACCATCAACTGTCAGTGACTTCTCAACTAGGTGTGGTCCTTGCAAGTCCCTTTAATCCATGCTGGAATGCACACTGGCATCTTGTGTGGGCAACCATAGTAGCTACCAGTCCCTGAGTACAGTGGCCCTGTCATGCGCAGAAGACACTGCTCCACAGCGGTCCCCACCAGCGTCTGGCTCTTGCAATGTTTGTTTCTTCCCTTTCCCCGATGCTCCCCGAGCCATGGAAGGGCAGGGGTTGTGATACAGAAGTACCACTTAGGACCACGCCCCCGTAGACTCTGTTCTGTGTGCTTCGGTCAGTTGTTAGTATGTCTCTATTACTGCCATCTACAGCCAGCCGGAGCTTCCCTGATCGGGTGGGTAGTGGAGGTGGAGATTATAAATACAGTGTATGCTTGGGTGAAGTCCCAAAGCATAAATTAATATGCATCAATCAAAAGAACAAGCAAGCCTTCCCACAGAGAATAACGGCAACAACAACCAAAAAACCTGGTGCCATACGACTCACTGGCGAGTTATACCCTGACACTAATACTTCTCAAACAGTCTCATAAGCTGGAGAGAGAAAGAACACTGCCAACCAAGTTATTCTACAAGGCCAGCGTTACCTTGATACTAGAATTGGAGAAAGACAAAATAAAAGGGAAACTGTAGACCAATTGTCGTAATGGAAATAGGGGCAAAAAGGTTACGAAATACTTGAAAAGCAAATTCAAGGACACGTGAGCGTGGTCATACATCACAACCACTCGGTTTCACCCCAGGCAAAGGGGTGGGTCCTGGAGAAAGCCTCTCCCTAAACTGTTGCTGCCGGACAGGAGTCAAGACTGTGACACTCAGGCAGGGCTGGCCAACCAACAGGGTCAGCTCTGAGCCCGGCTTGGGAGCAAGTGGGGACATGAAGCTGGTGGCAGCGGCTAAGACGATTTCCCCGTGTCCTCCCAGAGCGACTTCATGAGCAGCAGGAAGCCTCAGTACAAACTGTTGGTGACAGTGGCTGTAACTACAAATCAGGCTGGTGTCTCTATCACCGGCCTCTTCCTGCAGAACTCCATGTTGGGGTAAAACTGCAGGGAGGGAGGTTTTCAGGCCAAGTCAGTTCATCACCTCTTTGTGGGGCTGTTGGATTTTTCTCTGGATGCACTTTCATGTTCAGATGTGAGAGCTAAGCCTGAAGAAGGCTGTGTTAGGGGCACCCATGGAGGTATTCAGTCACCCTTGGAGACTTCACCTGGCAGTTCAGGTGTAATCGTTCACTTTTTAAGATCGTGCCTGGGTCTGAGGGGATGCTGTGCTCAGTTGACATGAGCATGGGAGTGGGGAGAGATCTGAGAGAGGCCACAGACCGCCTCTGAGGGGATTGCCACTGGGGTCATGTTGCATACTAAGAAAGAAGGAATGAGAGAAAGATAGATGCAGGCTAAACCCAGAAAGGGGTAGACATACAAACTGAGCCACTTCAGAAAGCGACACTGAATCAGTACAAGACAGTCATCTTGGTTCAGTGGAGGTGTGGGGTGGTTGAGGATACACCCTGGGAGGATTCTGAGAGGTGAAGACGTTCCAGTTGGGTTCCTGTTGCTGTGATAAATGGTTAACCGCACAGCTATTCTTCCATAGGGTCAAAGTTCAATTTCAAGCACCCACATGTCAACTCACAGCTGTTTATGTGATCTGGTGCCCTCTTCTGACTTACAGATGTATGTGCAGACAAAACATGGATAAAATACAGAAGGTAAGCAAATCTTTAAAGACTGGGAGACAACAAGAATTCCAATATGGAAAGATCAGGGAGAAAGCAAGCACACACACACACACACACACACACACACACACACACACACAGAGAGAGAGAGAGAGAGAGAGAGAGAGAGAGAGAGAGAGAGAGAGAGAGAGAGAGAGAACACTAGAGCAGGCTAGAGACAAGAAGAGAGGCAAGGAAGAAATCAGCTGGCACTTGATTGCAGGACTCAGTGTTCTGAGCAACTGTTATCACACAGGTCAGCCAAGAGTCAATCAAAACTTGGAACCCGAGGCCATTGTGTACCTGGCTGCATGCCCCCACATGCTCCTGCCCTCACCATAACCTTTTAAGAGTCACTTGGATCCACTCCCTTCTGCAAACTTTCAGCTAAAATGGGCAGCCTCCCTTACCCATTTCTTTTCATCCATCTCCCTGCCCAGTGGTACCTTCGTAAGGGATTTGTACAGTTTCCCCGTGTCCAACTGCATCTAATTGACAATCAAGGGCAAAGAGGATCCTGGAGGCGTTGTTCCTGGAACTCCCTCTGTTTCCAAACAGGCATAGGCACCAAAAGAAGCCCTGACTACACTGTGGCGGCAGTAAGGGTGACAGGAAGATATTGATGATGGAGATGTTGTCTTTATATCCCCCTGGGATGCAGGAATGACCTTTGGTTCTGATTATGCTATTGCCATACCATGCCTACCAGTTTTGACTAACACACACTGTGACTACATTGTGTAACTTGGGAGGGGGAGGAGTCCTGTGGGCAGCTCCACAGGCGGACAAGCTCTAGTAAAAGGCCACAGCACTGGAATACAAAGTATCTAAGGACTTGAAAGCCCTGGTTAGGAGATAGAAAAACTCAGTGTTTAAAATGCTGGATGGTATGATGGTTAGTCACCGTTGACTAATGCAGACGGGTTCCATGGAGAAAGTGCCTGAACTTTGATTTTTAGACCAAGTAGGAATGTGGAAGACTAGTGTTACGGATCCAAATAGAATTCAATATTTTGGATTTTCCTGGGATACGAGAGAATGCATAAGAATGGATATGGGACACCGCCCTGCTCATTTCTTACATTCTGCATTTGGCATTTAAAAATTATTCTCACCGGGAAGTGGTGGTGCACGCCTTTAATCCCAGCACTCAGGAGGCAAAGGCAGGTGGATCTCTGTGAGTTTGAGGCCAGCCTGGTCTACAGATCGAGTTCCAGGGCCTGACCACACAGATGCACCCTGCCTTGAGAAAAAAGACTTTTTTCATTCATTCTTTGAAAATTTCAAGAATGTGTGCAATATATCTTGATCAATCCACCCCTCACTTCTCTCTCAACTGCCCCCAAGTATCTTCTTTACTTCTCCCTCCCAGCTTCACATATTCCTTTGACAATATTTATTTACTTGCTCATTTGACCCACTGAGTCCAATTAGTGCTGCCCAAATACACAAGGACATGGAATCATCCACTGGGGCATGACGAACCCACCAGAGGCCACACTCCTGAAGGAAAACAACTCCCCTGCCCCCAGCGGCCACCCACTTCCGCTAGACTCCTCAGCTAGAAGGTGGGACCTTGGGAACCCCTCCCAGTGTGGGGATTTTTAACCAATCCTTAGAGAGGATGGACATAGGTAAGAGGTCTGCCCACAGATTGATCGGCGGTAGCCTTGGGTTTCAGCTTGTTACCTGCGTAGCAAGCAAAAGTAAAAGAGCAAATAGCAAGCCACAGATCAATAAGAGAACACATAATCAGGCACAACGTCCCTCAGAAATGACTGGAGACAGCCAACGGAACCAGTCTAGCTGGAGTCCCAGGGGAGAGTGGCTTCCCCTCAGGTAAAGCTTCTGCATTCCCATGTTTTATCTGCATGTGTACAACATCTGGGTAATAGCCACAGAGGCCAGAAAGAGGTGTCAGATCTCCTGAAACTGTAGTTACAGATGGTTGTGAGCCACCCCTGGGTGCTGGGAATTGAACCCCGGTCCTCTGGAATTGCATCCAGTGTTCTTAACCACCGAGCCATCTCTCCGGTTATATCCCCACCCCCCAAATCCCAGGCATTTTTTTTTTTAATGACACAGGATGAACAGATAGAGACCTAATTTGAAGTGCTTTGATTTCTTGATGTTCTCAAGGGCTCAGGGTCTTAAACATTCTTGGACTGCTTGCTGATGTCTGTTGTCCTTGTCACAGCGCTGTGGGTCAGCCTGTTGTAGGACAAGGAGGCTCAGAGAACACTTGAGATTAAGAGAATCTGAGACAAGAGAGCCCATCTTTCTCCCAGAGTCTGCTCTTAGCAAGTGCCAACAGCCATTAAAAATGAACATACTGCCGGGTGTTGGTGGCGCATGCCTTTAATCCCAGCACTCGGGAGGCAGAGGCAGGTGGATCTCTGTGAGTTCGAGACCAGCCTGATCCACAGAGACAGTTCCAGGACAGGCTTCAAAGGTACAGAGAAACCCTGTCTCGAAAAAACAAAACAAACAAACAAACAAACAACAACAAATGAACACGCTTCACGCTGCATTTGGCCCTTAAATTACTCGTGTGCAGCCATTTTGCTGGTGTCACCCGGTGGCCTTGTAGCACAGCTGTCACCGTGTCTACTGATACATGACCGGAAAATAAAAGGTGTGTCAGGGCGAAACCGAGACGCAGAGCAAAGGGTAGTATGATACGCAGCTTGGATGGGAGCAGTGACACTGTCAGCAAACGTAGAGACAGTGGCTAGACCAGAGGCGTCTGGTGGATGCAGCGCTGACCTGAAGGCAGCGAGGTTTATCCCCGAAACATTTGTAAACGTCTTTGGAGACATTTGGCCACGTTATTTTGTAACAGACTTTTAGGCAGATAGCCAGTATCCATACAAAAGGTGGACGGATTTTACACACGTTGGGCCAAAAGTGAAAAAAAAAAAGAAATTAGGGTCTGGAGAGATGGAGCAGGGGTTAAGAAGACTTGGTCTCTTGTGGCGGCCTGGGCTCCAGTTACCACCAGCACCTACACAGTGCCTTCCAACCATCCATAACTCTAGTTCAGGGGACCAAACTGACTGCTTGATCAAATAGAAGTGCCTTCTGGCCGCTGCAGGCACTAGGCACGCACGTTTGCCTGTAAATACACGCAGGCAAACCACTCACACACATAAAATAAATAAATTCAACATTTAAAAACGTCTAGTTTGCTGTAAAGGCTTCCTGGGAGCCATGTGGGACCTCTCCTGCCCAGACTAGCATTCCCCCCTCTTAGTTTTTCAGGATTTTAGACTTCTGTCAGGGTTTCCACACTTGCTGTTCTAACTTGAATATTTTATTTATTTATTTGTTTGTTTGTTTGTTTGTTTGTTTTTCAAGACAGGGTTTCTCTGTAGCTTCGGAGCCTGTCTAGAACTCGCTCTTGTAGACCAGGCTGGTCTCGAACTCACAGAGATCCACCTGCCTCTGCCTCCTGTAGTGCTGGGTTTAAAGGCGTGCGCCACCAACGCCCGGCTCCTTCGTGGCTCTTGATGCTGCTGTTATGCCTGTACTGGGAACTGAGTGTTTAGAGTAGTTGTTCTCTAAGAATATCCCCGAATGGAGCCAGAAGACAGACATAAGCCAACAAGTATGCAGATTGCAACTCAGAAACACAAGAAATACGAAAGGGCCAGGCAGCAGGACTCCTCCAGAGAAACCACAGCTTCTCAGCTGCTGAATTTGAAGACTCTGGAATGGATCCCAGAACCGACCACAGGGTCTGGTCGTTGACCAGCTTGGCTTTTGTCCATGATGTCTCTGTCCCTCAGAAGAGTCCAGGATGTGCACTTTGGAACAGAGCCCTTCTGTGGCTCACGTGGAGCCCCGGGAGGAGTGTGGGACTAGAGTGATGTTTCAGGAGGACTTTCGTCTGAACTGGACATTCTAACTCAGGATTACACCTGTCAGAAGGGCCTGCCAGGTCTTTAAAAACAGTAACAGCAGCCACTAATATGGCAAATGAGCCTGCCTATCCAAGATTTCTAACTTCCAGATTCTCTGTGGATTACTGCCCAGACCCTTAGGGAAGTTTGCAAGTTTCGTATGTTGGTTACATCGTATCTGTTATTCTATTTTTTTTATTCTTTTGTATACTACAACATGATTGAAGTTTCCACTCCTTCACCTTCCCCCCAGCCTTTCCTCCATCTCTCCTCTCCCTCAGATCCACGCCCCTTCCACCTTCTCTCAGAAAAGAGCAGTCCTCCCAGGGACATCAGCCAAACATGCTACAATAAGACCTAGCACATAACATCACATTAAGGCTGGGCGACACAACCACGAGGTGGAAAAGGGTCCTATAAGCAGGCAAAGGAGTCAGCAACTGCCCCTGCTCCCACTGTTAGGAATCCCACAAGAACTACTCAGCCGTAACATCTATGTGGAGGACCTAGACCAGACCCCTACAGGCACCCTGATCTCTGTCGAGTCCCTTGAGTCCCAGTCAATTGATTCTGTGGGCCATGTCCTCTTGGTGCCCCCAACCCCTCTGGCTCCTCCGATCCTTCCTACCCCTCCTCCATAGTGCCTCTTATCCTTGTTCCTGACGAATGCTTCTCACTTGATGTGTGTGTATGGAGTGAAGACACGGCTCAGAGGTTTGAGAGAGAAAAGTGTTGCGACATTCAGCCTTCCCAGTCATCTATCCTTGGTCATCCTTTCTTTACCCAGTGTTGGAGCGTTTGCCTCAAAACGGGGAAGGCAGCAAGACAACACCCCTAGCCCGGTACCAGGAGGAGTCACTGTGTTATAAGGAACCCAGAGCCTCTCTCCTCCAGCATTTTCTCTGTAACTATTGATGCTTTAATCCAGGGACCTGATAAGACATGCGAGCAGCTAATGGTCATTATGTAAGAGGATGAAGTACCTAGAGAAAAAGCCTGGCTCATGGATGGTTCCTTTCTCCTCGTTCTCTGGTCCACGCTGCGGTGGTCCTGTATTGTATCTTCCTGAGTTGCCTCAGACGTTCTGCCCTAACTCCTTCCCAACTGAGCCCTTTCTGCTTCTGCCCCTCATGTCAGCTGCTCAGAGCAATGGCTTCATAGCTGAGTAAGCACGCGACATGCCGATCATGACCTTCATCCTCTGACAGGATTCCACGGAGTGGGGTTGTGTGGACAGCAGGCATGCAGTCCCACGGACCCAGAACACTCTCGTGGAAAGGCACCCTCCCACCCAGGAACTCTTTGTGCCTCATATTTGAGGACAATATTTGATTATTCAGCTGGACTAAGCCTTGGGAAGGGCTCGGGCTATCTGCTGCCATCTTCTTAATGGGCACCGACACTTCCTTTCCCAGCAGCCTGCAGCTGCAAATACCTCCTGAGTCTTTCCATTAATTATGGTTGCTGTGTATTAGTTGTCCATAGTTTCTGGTTTCATAGAGACCATTGGCTTTCAGTACCTCATGCATTTGACCGTATTTGTCCCTCATTAACCTTGTTTCTCTTTCCTGCCCTTCCTGCCTCCCTCCCCAGTCTCCCTCTTCGCTTGTGTAATGCAACCTTCCTTTCTGTCTTACTGTCTGTCCATCAAGAGGAAAAGCTTCCGTAGCTTCACTAAGTCATGGGAGATAAGGAGGGAGACCCTCCTCCCACCCCGGGGGGGGGGGGGACGACAAGCAAACAAACAACCTTTCTCCTTTCTCTGCTTCCCAAAGGACAGGCCTAGACATCAAACACTAGGTGAGAATCTGGCATATTCCAGAACAGTTCAGAGTGGAGTAAAGAAGAAAACCACTGCTATGGTCCAGTGCTCCATGGGAGTCACACGAGCTGAACGGTCCATGGCCATGTCCAGACCTCTCCATACTTGATCTTAGCTGGCAAGTGTTGCTACTTAACCACAGAAGCCAGAGACCCCACTGCTTCCCCAGCCAATGGTGACACTAAGCAGGTTTGTGGTCAAGCACTTCCCTCCAATAACTTTTATGACCACCTGGAGCTGTGTTCTCCTAGGATGCGGAGTTGTGACATGTCAGTGAAAGAACTCCTGAACACACACACACACACACACACACACACACACACACACACACACACACACACACCTCTTTGCAGGGGGGAGAATGTGATCAGTTTCTTCTCTAAAGTTAGCTCGTTATGGAAGAAAAATCGATTTCAGAGGAAATTCCCATGCAGGGTTTAAAGGCTGTGTGCAGTGTGGTTCCCTCCTACAGTTAGGGCCATCAGTGTGACCTCAGTTGGGGTGCCTGCAGTCTCTAGAGTACCTTGATCTCCTGTCTCTGCTCCTGTCCTGCTGGGTACCCAAGCATATGCCTCGCCTCCAGGCCTGACTTCCGATGGATGCTGGGGCTCCAAACTCATGACTGCTCGGCAAGTACTTATCCAATGGAGCTGGCTCCCCCAACCCCCTTCCGCTCTTCAGTCTCCCAGGAATTATCTGAAGCTTGTAGGATTGAAGTTTGCCGCCAGGGAGCGCCTGCCATGCAGTTCCCAATAATGTCATCTCAATGCCCTGATACCACCCCCTCAGTCCTGAGCCGGCCTGATACTGACATCATAAAAACAAGAAGAGACTCCCAGTCGATGTACCAACTGCTGTCAAGACTGCATTGCTCTGCTCTCCACTCATTGGATTTATACTAGTGCCACCGGAGCATAGGCTTTTAAAACTCTTACCTGGCTCTTAAACCAACTCGTGGCAGAATATGTGCTCACTCGCATCCCGAGGAAACCCCACAGGGCACACTTACACCCACATCCACGAAATAGCACGAACCCATGTCAATGTGCTGATCCTAAGTTTCCCTGACCATCTCGGAAAGTGTCTTTCTCTACCACCGACCTCGTTAAGAGGCCCAACTCCAGTTCCCCAGATGGATTTTGAGTCCGACACAATGACTGTAACTAGCAAGGCATGGGTGATGATACCCTGGCAATCAATTCCACGAAAGCGGATCAAAGCGTGGGTGCCTTGAAAGGTGAAGCCAGGTTGGCCGCCCACCTGAAGCTCTGGAATACCTCTGGGCAGGAGGATGTGGCAATAGACTGAGCTCTTGTTTTATATGAAGTGAGTGTGGTGACATTTGAAAACTTGCCCAAGGCCAATGCATACAGATATTAGTCCAAGTATTACTCAGCTCTTGGAATCCATGAGACTTCAGTAAACTTAGCCTAAGGAAACAATGTAGTCAAGAATGTGCCTGACTACTAAGATGGACATGCACTCTCTTCCCTTACCAGGCATTTGTGAGCTTTAAGTGAGTCCACAAGACCTGTTCACATAGACTTGACAAAGAATACTTATTCTATAAATAATGTCTACTTTATTATTATTATTACTATTGTTACTATTCACAACATAGTATACATTTCTCCTTTCTCTCTCCCTACCTTGAAATGCCAGTCTCTCTTCACCAAGTCGATTCGTGTCCTCTGTCTCTCCTGTCCCTCTGACCCCTCCAAATCCCAACTCCACACTAGCCTGGTCTCCATCCTTCCCTTTACCCTCATCCAGCCCTGGATCAACGGGACAAGAAGCTCATGGTGTAGTTTGGTGGGATGGTGGCAAAACCCACGAGTCTAGGGGACACATCGATGTCCTGGGGTGCCTGTGGGGATCTGAGGTGGAAGTTCTGCAGGATGTTCGTGAGGAAGAGGAAGAGCTCCATTCTCGCCAGTCCTTCTCCGAAGCAGTACCGCTTTCCTAAAGAGAGGAGACAGGGGAAGGTGAAGCCAGCTCTTGCCCTCAGCCCCATACCAAATCCAAGGCTGTGTTCTCCATGGGAGGAAGGGCTGAGACCTCTGAAGAAGGCTCTAATCTTTGAGCCTCAGTTTCCCTCACACTTGGGGTAGGTTGGTCCACGCCAGGCTGTAACAATGAGAAATGTGGATTCCCTTCCCTACAGAGGCACGCTCTAATATGGCTGCCATATAATCATTTCCTTTTCCCTCCCTCCCTCCCTCCCTCCCTCCCTCCCTCCCTCCTTCCCTTCTCTTTCTTTCTTTCTTTCTTTCTTTCTTTCTTTCTTTCTTCCCTTTCTCTTTCTTTCTTTCTTCCCTTTCTTTCTTCCTTTCTTTCCTTCTCTCTTCTCTTTTCCTTTCCTTTCTTTTCCTTTCCTTTCTTTTCTTCTCTTTTCTTTTCTTTTGAGGCAGGGTTTCAGTGTATAGCCCTGGCTGTCCTGGAACTCACTCTGTAGACCAGGCTGGCCTCCCACTCACTGAGATCCTCCTGCCTCTGGGATTAAAGGTGTGCGCCCCCAACACCCAGCTGCCACACCCTGGTTGTGTGACCCCAGAAAGACCTCTGACTCAGTCTGAGCTTTCATTTCCCCTCATCTGTCACTACAGTTTGACCTTCACTTCCCCAGGGTTCAGACACATGGAGTTTGGGAACTGTGGAAGCTGAGGGTTCAGTCCAAGAGAATCTTCCAAGATGGAGAGATACTTGGTTGCACCAGAGGTGCACTATGGATGGGGTATCTCTGTTGGTGTGAGCAGTGGCCTGGTACTATACAGTGACCTCTTACCTATGGAAAAGGGCACAAATGCATCATTCTTCTTAAACTGCCCCTTGTCATCCAGAAAGTGCTGTGGGTTGAAGTCTTTGGGGTTGGAGAAGAACTTGGGGTCCCTCAGCACAGAGCCCAGCATAGGAAACACTTCAGTGCCCTGACAATGAGGAAGGTTTGATAAGGTAGATTTGGGTGAGTATCCTGCTGGCCCATGGGGTTAGAGGGGTGATTTAGGGCATCCCAGGTGGAGATAAAGATGATGTATGTGAGCTGGTGGGGGCCTTGAGGGAGGAGCTCCGTGGAAAGTGATGTCATTATCCTTGAGACAGGAGATGTGGGGCTCACATTATATGAGGCAGGATGAGTGAGTTTAATTTGAGGTGTCTTGTGACTCGATGATTGAGAAGCACAGACTTGAAACTCCCAAGATATAGGAGACTCTATGCAGGAGGGTGGAGGGGTGTGGTGGCAGAGAAAGCCTGTCACTGAGAAAGTGAGGGGACTGGGTGGTTTCTAATGAGGAGGAGGAGGCCTTCAGACCCATGAAGAGGGCTGGAGGTCGCTATAGGCTGGGTGAGTCAGCACCTTGGGGATGAAGAAGCCCCGGAACTTGGTGTCCTTGGTGACCCTTCGAGCCAGACCCATGGGGATCATGTCTCCAAAGCGTTGAATCTCATGAATCACAGCCTCTGTGTAGGGCATCTTCAAGCGGTCCTCATATTTGGGCTGCCGGTTCTTGCCAATCACCCTGTCAATCTCCTCTTGGACTTTGGCTGAGAAGAAGAAAGATGTGTTTAGGGGTCCAAGAACCCTCACCCGAGGAATGACTGCAAAAACATAGAACTGAATGGAGGCCATGAGACAGTGTATGACACCGTCAGTCATTTTCAGTACATGCGAGTCATAGGTATTGTTGGATGAGGTTCTTGTCAACTGGATTGCAGCAGAGTTATGTTGGAATCGTGAGGAAGGAGATTTAGGCAGGGTCTGGGGGACCAGCAAGTGGCCCCTTTGAAGTTCAGATGAGGAACGCATCAGTTGATTCAACAACGAGAGACCAGTGACCCCCAGCCGACTCTGTCTCTGCAGAGCAGGGGAGAGCTATCGGAGAGTCCAGTTTCTTGCGACAGAGAAGCAAGTTTAGGATCTGTGACCTCCCCACCCCTCCCCACCCCTTGCAGCCTCACCCTCCACGTCTGGGTGCTTCATGAGCAGGAGGAAGCCGTAGCGTAGGGTCGTACTGACAGTCTCTGTGCCAGCAAAGAAGAGGTTCAGCGTCGTCAGCACCAGGTTCTTCATGTAGAACTCTGTGTTGGGGTTCTTCTTCTCCTGCAGGAGGGAAGTATTCAAGTCCAGCCCACTTCCGCCCAAATTCACTTCTCTTTGGCCCAGACCTAAGGTGAGAAGAGGGATCCTGGCTATGCCAGGTGCCCCCCAGGTTCCAGACTTTGGGAGTGACCCCAGTGCCCTAATCCAGTGCTCTCCTGTCATTCATGACTAAGTTGATTGTCTGAGCTCTAACGACCATGTTTAGTTGTCAGTTTTCATTTTATGTGCATTGGTGTTTTGTCATGGGTGTTGGGTCCCCTGGAACTGGAGTTACAGATAGTTGTGAGCTGCTACATGGGTGCTAGGAATTGAACCCCAGGACTCTGGAAGAGCAGCCTGTGCTCTTAACCACTGAGCAACCTCTCCAGCCCCCAAACAATGAATTTGAGGCAACAGGATCCCATTTCTTAATTACAATCCTTAGTATTTCCTAGAGGAATCCCATCCCTCAATCCTCTGCATGGGATTCCATCTGGCCAGACACCACATCCTGGTAATCCCAGCCTCCAGAAAGCAGACCCAGGACGACTACCACAGGTTTGATGCTAGTCTGGCCTACAAGGAGAGTTTCAAGCCAGTCAGGGCTACAGAGCAAGACCCTTTCTCAAAACCACCAATGACAAAATCTCTCTGTTTGGAACAGATGGGAGGAGGTCACAGCAGAGCTCAGGCTCACGCTGATGTAAGCAGCCATGAGGACCGACAGATGCAGGGGGTATGGTAGCTGAAAGCACCAGCCCGAGCCAGGACGTACAGCCTTCATGCCGTGATATCAGACAGGTCACCTACGTTAGCCGGGCTGCAGCTTCCTCATTTGTAAAATGGGAGTTGAAATACAACCTCGCTCATGAGTTGTGGGTGCTACATAAGCTTACTGCATAAGCCTTTAAAACAGTGCCTGGACATGGCAGCCCTGTTCCCTGGCTGCTGCCTCAGCCTGTACACACCTCCTGAGAATAAGGTCCAAGTGCATGGAACACTGATGTTGAATGATGATTATAATGAGGGGAGCAACGAGTGGTCCTGCTAACCCCCTGCTCTGTGAGCTTGATCTCATCCTTCTAACCTTCCATCATGCTCCCTGTCTTCTGGGTTTACCTCCTTCATGCGGATGAGGAAGGAGTCGATGAAGTCCCTTGGGGAATTGGGGTCCAGGGTGCGCTGGTTCTGTTCCACCTTCTTGGTTATGAAGTCCTCCAGCCCCTGCAGTTCCTTAAAGGCCTGCTGCTGTGGTCCCGGCAGGTGTTTCATCACCGAAGAGAACATCTCGTAGAGCTGATGATGGGAACAGAAGGAGAAACCAAGGCAGCTGTCGCTGGACGAAACCCAACAGATGTGGCTTCTGTCTTAAGAAGGGACGTTCATGTCACCTGTCCAGGAGTTTAGGCATCCAGGTCCTCTTATGGCTTAAGCATGAGGACGATTGTCCAAGTTTTTAAGTGAGATGGATTTGGGAACACATGCAGGTTTCGGACATTCAAATGAGGCCAGGGTGGGAGTCGTCCAGTCGTTGGGTAGGGGTTGCCTATGTAGATATTTGGGTGCTTGGGTGACTTCAGCTGGAGACAGCTGTTCACGTACTAACGGATTTGGATTGGTGAGTTCTACCAGGCATTGCAACATTAAACTAGTTCTGGATAGTAGCAAAACTAAATTATGCAATCAACCTAGGTGTCCAAAAACAGGGTAACGGGGGAAGGAAAATGTGATCTATAGACACAACCGAATTGTTTTTCAGCAATTAAAAACTAAGTTACAGCATTTTCAGGAAAATGGGCCCAACTGGAGATAATCATATTGAGCAAATTTAACCAGTCTTAGAGGGAGAGAGAGAGAGCAAGCTCATGTATTCTTTTTTGTTGTTGTTGTTGGTGATGTAGATACATTAAATCATGTGTGTATCACTTGGAAGTAGAAGAAAATCTGTCCCAGGAGACAAAGAGCTCTAAAGGAGGAGGAGGTGTGAGAAAAAGGAAGGCAGAGGGTATGGCGTGAATAGTCTCAATACACAAAATATGCTTGTTAAAAAATTAAAAAGGAAGTATTTTAAAATAGTGCCGATATTCACGTGTTCACATTCAAACGGCTGCACAGAGGGCCCCACTTAGGTGTGTGAGCGGTCTGTGCTGGAAGACCTTTAACTGAGGGGTTTGAGGGACATTCTGTACAGAAATTTTGCTGAGAGGGGCAGGGGTTTAGGTATTTCCGTAGCTGAGTAAGGGACACTCATCTACATAGTCCAGCGGGCTGGCTCTGAGCATTTTGGCAGAGGGCACATGATTTGAGCGACCTGGATTTTGCAGCACTAGGGAACTGAAGGGGGCTACTGCATTCCGCGGGCCTTTCTGTTGCAACCTTGTGTTAGAGAGTTAAATGAATTGTGGTGGTAAGGCCTGCCCAGCTGAGACGGCTGTTTCCCCTCCCTCCCCCCGCATGTACACGGCTGGCTCTGATTTCAAGCAGCACTGCCGAAACTGTATATTGACTTCTGTTCTGGAGCAGCTGCCGGGCGGCTTTGAAGGTGCCTGCTGGATGGAGACAGGCAGTTTGGGAGGGAGTGAGCTGGCAGCCGCAGTCTGGGGGTGGCGGGACAACGCTGGAACAAGTTACCTGCCCAGTGGAGGTGGCTGTGAACTGGAAGCTTCCCAGCATCATCCTCAGCAGCGACAGGAACTCTTTGTCCTCATAGTCAAAGCGGTCGCCGAAAACGATGGAGCTAATGACGTTGGAGACCGTTCTGCTCAGGTAGAAGGTGGGGTCAATGAGAGCACCTGTGGGCGGGGAGGGAAAGGAGAGAGAGGGGCTTTGGAGCGCGGGGAGGGAAAGGAGAGAGAGGGGCTTTGGAGCTAGGAAAAAGGCATCACGGGGGGGGATAGCATCCGGGCAGTTAGCGTCCGGTGCTTTGAATCAGAGAATTCAAAATGAGCGCTGGCCGTAGCGGAGTCCGCCAAAACCCGGACACCAGGCCCCACAGCGGGAACCAGGACTCTTTTCTAGCCTAGTTCCCATCCTGGATCATAGCGCTGCTTTTTGTAGGGTGTCTTCCCCTGGGTCTGTTCTGAGAACTTGCGGGACTCTGCTTACCGTTTGTCTTCCGGAATGCCTCCAGAAGAAAACCCGCCTCCTCTTGGATGCGCTCCTCGATGCCACGCTTGCCCACGCCGAAGTCCCGCAGCGTGGCGATGGAGAAGCGCCGCAGCTGCTTGGCGCGCTCGCCGCTGCTGAAGGCTACGCCTGGGAAGGTGAGTAATGGTGAGTAGGGGTGGGGCTGGGGGGCGGGAGAAGTCAGAGAAGAGGGCCGTGGCTGACCCCTGGCCACTGACCACCCCTGAGCTGCTCCGAAGGGGAGAAAGATGCGCAGAAAGCCCCACAAAACTACGGAGACAGAGACAGAGAGACAGCGAGACAGAGAGAGATAGAGAGAGACAGAGAGAGAGAGGACAGATGCAGAGACAGAGAGACAGAGAGAGAGAGACAGAGAGAGACAGAGACAGAGAGAGACAGAGAGAGACCGAGAGAGAGGACAGATGCAGAGACAGAGAGAGAGAGAGAGAGAGAGACAGACAGAGACAGACAGAGAGAGACACAGAGAGACACAGAGAGAAACAGAGACAGATAGAGATAGAGAGAGACAGAGAGAGACAGAGAGACACAGAGAGAGACAGAGACAGATAGAGACAGAGACACAGAGAGAGACAGAGACAGAGAGAGACACAGAGAGAGACAGAGACAGAGAGAGACACAGAGAGAGACAGAGACAGAGAGAGACACAGAGAGAGAAAGAGAGAGAGACAGGGACAGAGAGAGACAGAGACAGAGAGAGACAGAGACAGAGAGACAGAGACAGGGACAGAGAGAGACAGAGAGAGACAGAGACAGAGAGGACAGATGCAGAGACAGAGAGACAGGGCAGAGGCAGGATAATGGAGACTGTGAAGATCTGACGGTGGATACAGTTGTGGAAGATTTCTAACCGAGCTAGGGAAGAGAGACCAAGAGAGCCGGAAAGGAGGTGAGATTGCTGTTGGAAGGTTGCACTTGGGGACAGATGTTCTGGATGCTCTGACAGTGGAAAACGAAAGCAGGGCAGAGGAGGAGAGGCAGCATCCCGGGCAATCACAGAAGCTGAGCACGATGGCGTGGGGGCGGGGTGGGGGGAGCTCCCGAACCCTTTAGAGGTGCACAATTCCGACAGAGCTATCCCGAGGCGCCAGAGAAGACATGGGTGGCCGCGTGGGGGACCAGGAGTACAGGCAGAGAGACAGGAGCCGCAGGCAGCGATGCGGGGAGAAGATAGCCTTGAAGGGGGGAAGGGGGAGGAGTCCAGGAGAAGGCTGGGGAAACGGACGCCTTCTAAACGTCCCCTGCCACATTCCCCTGTGCTTTGTGCCCCTCACCATAGCCTTTGAAGAGCCAGTCAAAGGTGGCCTGCTCGCCACGCCCGCTGAATTCCTCAGCTTGATCCACCAGAGCCTCCTTGACTGCTTCCTGTCCGCATAGCACCACGATCGGGCGAGGCCCCAGGTGGATGGTGAACACCGGGCCGTATTGTTCGCTGATCTGATGGAGGTGGATGGGCGGGGTTAGAGGAGGGAAGCCATGCCTTGATGTCAGGTCTGGGATTCATTTGTCTGGAGATGTGACAGCTACCAGATGGGATGTCCCAAGATGTGACCTCACGTGCCTAGGAATCCCCCTGGCCTAATGTTACACTCCCACCTGGTCAATACTCTCAATGACATTCGGGCATCCCGTTCTACCCGTCTCCCTGCCCAGTGGCACCTTCATGAGGGAGTTGTACATCTGCTCTGTGTTGAGCTGCAGGTAGTTCCCGATGAAGGGCAATGGGGTGGGACCAGGAGGCAGCTTCCCTGAGAGCTTCCTCTGCTTCCAGACAGACATCAAGACCAGGACGACGAGGAAGGCCAGCACAGTCACCAGGAGCAGTCCGGAGGCCAGCATGGTGGCGATGAGCGTGCTAGACAGATGGCGATGGCTGAATTGGTTTGCTTTTATACATCCTGAGGCAGAAGGGTGGCCTTTGGTCTTGGTTATGTAATTGTCTCATTTCACCACCAGACTACCCCCTCCATTGTGTGCCAAGTTTGGGACATAGCCAACAATCAAGGAGGAGGAGGAGGAGGAGGAGGAGGAGGAGGAGGAGGAGGAGGCCCCCATGAAGGATTAACAGGGAGTAGACAGAATTTGGGACATCTAAGGAGGAAGTACTCCAGGGCTATGCATTGCAGAGGAATTGGACGGTAGACAGTAGATAGAACCGAATCCTTCATAACATCTATATTGGACACTCCTCTGACCTTTGGGTGTGTGTTCCCCTGGGAAGGGACCAAAGTGATGTGACATTAGGGTCTTAGAAGAGAGGAATCTGTGTCTCATTAGCTTGATACAGGATAAACAGCTATGAACCTGAAAGCCCGTTTTCTTCCTCGTTTGAGACAAGTTCTCGCTATGTAGTCCTGGCGGGCCTGAAGCTCAGTCTGTAGACCACAGAGATCCACCTGTGTCTGCCGCCTGAGTGCTGGGATCACAGGCCTACACCACCACACCCAACTCTGGGAGTCTTTCAATGAAGAGAGTTCTGAATTTAAGGGGCTGAGAAGGGGAGACTTCAGGGTTATGGGCCGTGGGTCTCAAGGCAAGAGTGACTGTGTATGTGACGTGCCAGGGAGAAGCATAGGGGATCCCAACAGGAGTCAACACCTGCACCCAGGTGGGAATATACTTCAGATTTGACCCAGGCTATGTCTTGATGCCCAGAAGCCTTGGGGAAGTCCCCGAGTCCAGGCTAGACCTCTGGAACATAGGATCTGGGAAAGGTGGGAAGAACAGAGTCCTGTTCCACAATGGAAGTTTGCACAGCACTAGAGACAACATCTTAGGGTCCCCGTCATCAGAGGGTCTGTCTAGGTCTTGAGAAATGACGCTGACAACCACCAATATGGTAGAAAAGATCTAATTTATACTCCCCCCCCCGTTCCTATCCAGATCCATAGGAAAGGCCACTAGGTTTACTGGATCATTACTGGTGTTATGTACAAAAGTTCCCTATTTTACGTATGGATGCACCAAGAATGGACCACAGAGGGTGGCATGGGGCTTGCAAACCAAAGGCATCAGAATCTGCCTTAGCCTACATCTGCAGCTTTCTCTTTCTAGACTTCTCTCCCCACCACTCGAAAGAGAGCATGGAGGGGTTCATAATCGGGGTGTGTGGTAAGTGGGCTGATGCCTGCCTGCATTGCCAGCTGGAAAGTGGGAAGAGCGGAACGGAGGTGGAGAGACCTAGTTAAGCCCCCAGCAAGGGGAACAGAAGAGGACCCTGGGATGCTAAGGGTGGCCACGGAGAAGGGGAGAAGGGTCGAGCGGCCACTGTTCTCCAACATTGAAATTCTTCTGTAATATCCAGGACAGTTACCTTCCTGTACCTCCAGGAAGATTATTTGTGTCCCACGGTAGTAATTGTGGAGTTGTTACATCATCGGCCTCACTGAGATTGCCAAGATCATGAAGGAGCTGGAATTTGACCCTCTGTTCTCTCTTCGATGCCTAGCCCAGCTCATCCTGGGAGCCACTTGGGGGCTGGGTGGGTGCTGACATTGGGAGCTGCTGTAGGCAAAAGACACTGCAGTCGCTATGTCAGTACGGAGCAGACCCGGGAGGGAGGAGGATGAGGCCGGCATTGAGATCGTCCTCAGGAAGCACTGAGGCCAGAAAGAAGTCAACATTGAACGGGACGCCAAGGGGACTTTAGTAGAATCACCTCTTAGGCTAAGACGGAGGCAGGCTGTCACTGGAAATGCCCGAATGAAGGTATAAATGTGGCATCATACGGGCTTTGGGTTTGGTTCCATCGCGTTCTGACACAGACACGAGGAACTTGCTGAGGTTGGCCTCAACTAGACCCTGGGAGGGGCCTCAGGGGGACCCTGGCAGGCTTTGATGGATGGAGCATTCATGGTGGTACCCTAGCTTTAGACAGGTGGAGGTGGGTGGGGCTGGAACTCCCATGACTGGCATGTTGCTCATCTCCTTCTGAGCTGTTGGACTCTGAGACCTGCTGGGGAGAAAGCCAAGAGAGGAAAGCTGTTTGTTGATTTTGGAGGAGGAAGAGGTGGGGAATGGGATTAGCCTAGGTTTGGCAGGTAGCAATCTCACCTTAATCTTTATTACCAGCCTGCACCTGCACCAGCCCCGAGCTTGGACCTCTCCTCTCCTGTTTCTATTTGAATAGGAGGAAGGGAGCGATTTGGAGAATTTGTTTCTCAGTAAAGGTGGCACCAGGAAAGACCCCGAGTGTTCAGGCAGCCTCCCATGGTCTGTAAAGGGGGTGTGGCGGGGGAGGGCCAGAATGGGAACTGAGCTTGAAGAGCTCGAGAGAGATCAAGTGTATTTGCTCTTATTGATTTTTCTTGAGGGCACGTGAATGATAGAGCAGAAACTGGTCACGTGGGAGGGCATAGGCACGTGCACGAGGGATTAGTGCCTGCTGTCACCTGGAGGAGACATGTGCGAGTGGCAGTGTCTCAAGACAGGCTTCCAGGGTGAGTTAGTGGTGGGCACAGAAAATCCCCTTTGGATGGGCCTCAGTTACCTTCCTGCTTGAGTGATTAAGAGCAAAGGCAAGGTATGGAATAGAACCCTATCCTGGGCAAATACCACCCCACCACCACCCTGTGATCCTGTCAGTCTCCCCAAAATCCTCTGTTTTGAGTCTTTGAGGAGCTGACTTCATGGACAAACTGAGCTTTAGGGGCCCAAGGACCGAGTGCATGTACCTCTTGGTAGTAGTGTATGAGTTAATGCATAAAAGCCACAAATGCCGGCTATTTTATTCATTTGTGACTGCAGTTTATGAATCCGTAACTAAAAGGAGACGGATTGCTATTACTCTCAACTTCAATCACTGTTTTACAATCTCTGGTTTTCATTGTAGCATAGACGGTCCCGCACTCGATGAGGCCGTTGGTAGATGTTCTGCCCCCGGAAGTCTCTATCCCACACCTTCCATCAATATGAAGGTTAGTCATCAAGGAGACAATTTGCTGGTCAGTTCAAGACCGATGTGCCTATGTCCTGCAGCCAGAGTTGGTGGTGTCTTCATCAACAGGGTCCTCATATCTAGTTTTGGGGGTGGGCAAGCAAGAGAAACGGCAATCGCCCGTTTTGTTTTGAGGGTCTCCAGAACTGGAAGAGGGTGTCTGAGAAACCTCCCTCCCCAATACTTCTTTACCGAGACCGAACATGACTGCCTCTTCATGCCCCCGCCGTCCCCCCCCCCCCGCCCTCCCGGAGCTGTGAATAGGAAGTTTATCCTGGAGGGCTGGTGCTCCATTGGGCAATTTTTGAGCAAGCATGGGCTATTGTTAGATGGTCAGACTGTTCTGGGTGGTGCTGACGCCTGCACAGGGCTTTGCCTTGCTGTCAATCATCCCTCCTCACCTTGGACTGCCCAGTCCTCTTTTTCTTTCTTCTTACCAGCAAGTCACCGCTGTCCCCAAGAGTCCTCTGTGTGTATGGATGTCCTCGTGTTGTTATCATTTTGGTAGTAAGTTATGACATGTGCTTCTGACTTGCTTAGCTTTGTGTATTAGTTTCTCTTCTGTTGCTTGATAAGACATCATAGCCAAGACACATGTATAGAAGTTTATTTGGGCTCACGGTTCCCAAGGAATAATAGTCCATTGTGGTGGAGAAGCATGGTAGCTAGTGGCAGGCATGGTGACTATAGCAGGAGGCTGAGGGCTCAGCTCTTGAACCCCCAAGTACAAAGCAGAGAGGGTTAAGTGGAAGTGGTATGTGATCTTTTAATATTAAATCCAACGCCCAGTGACATACTTTCCCCAGTGAGACCGTGCCACCTAAACCTCCTCAAACAGAGCCACCAAGGCTGGAGGACACCATTACAATGACCACGCTGATTGGTTAATTCATATCCGTGCCAGTCTTAGTTGGATTCGTCTGGGGACATAATCAGTGGTTATACAGTTCATGCCTGCATCTTCATATCTGCGTATCTGAGGGTATGTGTGTGTCCATGACCATCAGTCTTGCATGTCAACATCTTATATACACACGGGCTTTAGGATGTGCCCATTGCAGCATGGCTGCCACGCGCATGTTGTGTGCAGTGCGGTGCTTAGCTCCACATTAACGCATGCGTGCTTAGCTCCACATTAACGCATGCGTGCTTAGCTCCACATTAACGCGTGTGTGGTATTTTTGGGTCTATTTTGGCATACGTTTGCAGCCATATGAAGCCATAGCGTGTGAAGGTCAGCAGTTGGCACCTGCATATTCTTGTCTGTGTTTCTATTTAAACATAATCTTGGACCAGTTTCATGTCTACTCTTCAGTAAATAAATAATAGTCACATTTGTTTTGAATATTTGCCTCCTTTGATTTTCAAGAGTTGAAGTGCTTGCATGGGACAGGTATGTCCTAGAACATTCCCAAGACTTTTTACCCACTGAATATATTCCACTGAATATATTCCAGTGAATATATTCAGATATTCTCCCAAAGATTTTTTCCTAGGATATGGCCCCCAACATCTTTAGCCCAGTCAACATGTTTAACAGTCATTCAGCTAGTAGTCACCGAACGGTTCCCTGTTCTAAGCCGGGGCCCGCAGGGCTGATCAACAGGCCTTGGACCTGGGTCTCACTGAGGACTTTTGACTAATGAATCACCAAACAGTGACAGGTTAGAATGGATGGTTACAGGGAGGGAAGCCACAGGGGTTCAGGCTGAATAGAGAAAAAATAGCTGTGGGAAGTCAGAAATGGAAGCTGACTCAGCCTTGTGTGTGTGTGGTAGGCCACCAGAAGGAGAAGTAGGGATGCCTCATGGGAGAGTAGAGACAGTTAGGAGGCCGTGTTCCAGACAGAAGCAACAGCGCGCATGTGGGACCTGCATGCCTGGGGAAATTAGAGACGGGAGACTGGACACCCTGGCAAGGCCTGGCCCCGGTGAGAGCCAGATCACCTGCAGCTTTACGTAAGGCAGCGAGGAGTCTGGGATTAGAGCCAGGGGCTAACCAGGGTAAAAAGACGGTCACATTTGCGTTTGAGAAAGATCCTTCTGTTTTGGGGGATGGGACAGAAGTGGAGGCTGAGAAGTTGGGGACAGTGTGCAGTGGGCGTGGAGGCTGGCTGGAGACATCGCAGGAGGGGCGATTTCTGTTGCTGCTTTACGTGCTGGCTCTGCGGATTCTTCTCTGCGGGTGACAGATGGAAATGTGCCATTTCTGACTTGAAGGCCCAGATCAATATCAGATTGGAGATGGGACATCATGGGACATCCTGACAAACCAAGCCAAGTCACTGCCAGGGATCTCAAAGCAGAGCGAACACAGAGAAAGGAGCCTTAGATGGTATTATTATTCTTGTTACTTGTAATAACGGACCACGTAGGCGTGGGACGTTCCTAGAAAAGCCCTGTGTGAAACGCTTCTCGCAGAGTGGGCTTTCCGGGGAGAAGTGGAGTCACTCACACGCAAGCCAGGTCTCAGACGTGACACGAGTGGGACAGATCGGATGTTTGACTGTTGCCCTCCCTCACCCTAACCCCTACTCAGTCTTTAGTCTCATCTGTTTACCGCCTGTCTTCTCCTCTTGCTCTGACCCGATAGCTTTCAGGACAAAAATGGCTCCTCCCCAATGTACCTGGAATGTTCAACCCTGTCCGGAATGAGCCCTTCCTCAGTTGTTGCTGTGGTGTGTGTGTGGACGTGTGCATGTGTGCACACGCTAAGGACAGTGTGTCTTCTTTAGTTGCTCTGCACATTAAGTCCTAACACATTTTTTTCTGAGCCTAGAGCTAGCCTTTGCGGGTAACAGTCTGGCTAGCCTGTGTGGCCAGTGAGGCTCAGGGATCCTCCTGGATCCGGCTCTCGCAACGCCAGCGCTGTGGGGTGAACAGAACAAAATGGATTACAGGCGTGTGCCACCACACCTGGCTTTTGACGTGGGGGGCAGGGATCCCATGCTTACACAACGTGCCCTTTACCTGGGGGGGCATCTCCTCAGCTCCTCTCCTCCTTTTATTTTAAATTGAGATGAAATAACATAGGAACTAAATGTTCGCAGAGAAAAGTTCAGTGGCATTTAGTACATTCATGGTGTTATGCAACCACCATCCCTATTCAAATATCAAAACGTTTCCCAATGAAAATCCTAAGTAAACCAAAGGTAGGGGCAACCTACTTTGGGGTCTACACTAATGAGAGTTTGCCTGGGAATGGCCTGTGTGTCTGTAGGTTCCATGCCTGTTGTAGCCATGTCTGCTGTATGAGGTTTGGTGGTGTTGTTCATTTTTTTTTTTTATGAAACACCAGAAAAGTGTCCCTTTAACACCTACGACTCTGAAACCCACATCCCATTATCACACGCCCCATTCAAAACAACTCCAGAGCCAGACAAGCACAAGTATATCTCAATAAGAGAGATATTTGACCTTTTGTCTCCTTTGCATTCTTTGTTCCTTAACCAGTCCTGACCTGGTCAACCAGGGTATACCGGGCCCCACACCCCTGGCCACAGGTAGTGAGGTAGCGAGTGAGCCTGGAGAACAAAAGTCTGTGGTCAGGGAAGGGAAGTGTTTGCATTTCAGATTTCATGGTTATGACAAGGACTAGGGAAGAGTCTGGGGAGTGTTGGCTGAAACCATGTGACGGAGAAAGTGTTGGCTGAAACCACGTGACAGAGAAAAGCAGAGGACTGAAGAAAGTCATCCAGCTCCTTTCTGTCTGACCGTTCACTCTCGGCCAGGCACGCCTTCCCACCGGGAAAACGCAGGGCGTGGGGGGTGTGCATGCTGAGAGGAGGTTTGATGGACACACGGGATGGAAACGGCCCGGAAGAATGGAGTTGTGTTTATTTAATAACTCCAGTTAAAAATATATAGTTCACACATATACATACATGTACGTGGAGATAGCAAGCTCAACACCGTGTCTAGCACTTCCAACCAGTGGGCCAGTGGTGGTTGCCTTTCAGGAATTTGTTTCTTTCATTTCCCTGCTTTCCTGTAGGGAACCTGTAGCATACTGGGGGAAATGTTACTTTAAAAAAGCACAGGAAATTATTATTTAAAAAAACCCAACTCATTGCTGTCAAAGAAAACCACGTCCGAAGTGTTTACATTTTCACCTCCACTGTCAAAAAGGAGGAGGCTATTGTTTCTTATCTGGCTCTGGGAGTTCTGAATCCTGTTCGTTTCTTTCATTCTTCATTCGTTTCCTTGGTGTTCAGCTTGCTGTTTAACCTGAACAACTTTCATCTGGGGACTGCGTAGCTGGTTTTCTGCACGTGATTCTCATCACCTGGGGGGTGGGTGTTCATCATCTCCCGCAGCCTTAGTTTCTGCTCCAATTCTTAGGAGACCCTCAGTGTCAGCTCCTCTGCCCACTCCCACTGTTTCTTTTATTTTCAAGATTATAGCAGAATGACGTCACTTTCTCCCATTCTCCTTCCTCCATCCAAATACACCCATAGGCCCCCTTGTTCCCTTACAATCCATACCCTCTTTTATCATTAATCATTGTCACATGCATTTATGTATGTGCATATAGATGTGTGTGTGTGTATAGATACATATATCTATATAGCTATATCATACATATACATATGTCACTGCTTGGGGATTTCATCTTCTTTGTCATTGTGATCAGCATCTTCTCTGGGAGCTGAGACTGTAGCTCTTGGTCTCTCGGAGGGAACCTCCCAGTAGTCCACCCACTCCTTGAAGTAGGACTGGAAGGTGCTCATGGGGACTCCTGATGTCTTGTATTTTTAAAATGACATTTGTCACGTTTTTTACGTTAAGATTCAAAACCAATATGATTAGCATAGAACATAAAGGGTCCTCTTGCAGAACATTCATACACACTTCGTTCTGGTTGCTCCTGTGTCTCCCCTTCCCTCCTCCTCACCCACTCCCCTGGTCTTCCTCCTAAGAGCCCTACGTCTGTGTTCATGTTACATGGATTCTGCTGTCTCTCCTACTTACGATCTCTTATTAATTGACAAATGGCAACTGGATATATTGAAGGAGTACAGCACAATGTTTTGATATGTTATATTTTGGAGAATGGCTAAATCAGGGTAATTAGAATACATGTTGTGTCACAAAGGATCTTGTGTGAGAACACTCAGAATCTAAGCAGTATTCTAGAACACGATACCTTGTTTTTAACCATGGCCTCTGTGTTAGACAATAGATCTGTTTATGTCTCCTAGTACCTGATATTCTGATCCTTTGAGCAACACCTCTCCTCTCCCAGCCTCCAGCCACTGCTAGCCTATTTTCTTCTCCTACAGTTCAGCTTTCTAAGTCTCCCCGTGTAGGGGAGATCATGTGTTTGTCTTTCAAAAAATAAGTTTTTTTAATGAGGATGAAGATATTGCAAATACTCTGAGGGGATTTTCATTTCTGACAGAGGTTGAGGAGAAGGAGTGAACAATATTGAGTCGAGTCAACAATAACTATACACTATGAAAAGATATTTTAAAATCTCCACCCATTGGTAGAAATTTTTAGAAGGCAGAGAAAAGCAGACATTGGAAGAGTTGGATGAAGAATTGGTCTTAGTTGGTTTTGTTCTGAGGGCAGGCCATGAACAGCACCTGTGGGATGCCAGAAACCCAGCTAGAAACCTCATCTTTTCTAGGATTTCTGGATACAGACAACAGGGCTCATTGTGATTGACTGCAGTGCCGTTGGTAGTGATGGTTGAAACTTTAAAGAGTCAGAGAAAATGAGACAAGATAAGACCAAGTCCTATGTATAAATCTTGCCCAAATTTCGGACTGATTATGTAGGTACTTATGAGCTGAACCACAGCTAAGTCTAGAAGCACTGAGGCAGGGTCTCAGTACGGAGTGTTTAGTTCTAGCTGTGTCAGCCACTCTCTAAACAAAAACAGAGCAACGATATTCTTCAGCAGAACATAACAGAATCCAGAGTCTTTACAAGGTCTCATTTCCAGTACACAGGGTAAAAATCCAAACACAGCAGGTGAATGAAGGTATGGGGAAATATGAATTACCCTCAAAAGTAAAGGCAGCTGATAGAAATCAACCCTGTGGAGACTTTAATGTTGGGATTTAGCTGTCAGAAGGTAGAAACTTATTATTAAAGCAGATAGTTTTACGGATTACCCTATTATGATTCATATACCATGTATAATGATGAACCACATTCGTTAGTGTCTAAGGTGATAAGCATGACACCTCCTAATTTTATTTTATGCGTACGTATGAGTGTTTGGTCTGCCTGTATGACTGTGTACTATGTGAATGACTGGGTGCCCTTGGAGGTCAGAGGAGGGGATAAGATGCCTGGAAATGGAGTTACAGATGGTTGTGAGCCACCATGTATGTGCTGACAATGGAATCCGGCTCCCCTGGAGGAGCAATCAACACTCTTAACCACTGAACCATCTCTCTGGCCTCTGACTGTTGATACCTTTTTGAAGTGTGAAAATATCCAGGTTTTAAAAGTGAAGAAACTGAGGCCATCAACTTGGAAAACTACGCTGTCAAGATTAGAGCCTGGGTCTCTGTTTGCAACGCTAGGTTCCTCAATCACCACATCCAGCATCAAGGGGGAGCTGTTAAAGGAACAAGAAGTTCGAGGAAAATCAGGTCACACAATGCTCAGTGGGAAAAGACAGATAAACTCCATTTTAATCAGTGAATACACTGCACACCCACTTTTGAGGACAGGGTGGCTTCAGGCCTCAGGGAGTTTGACTCTACTTCTGGTCTCAATGGCTTTTCACCTGATTTGAGATGTCAACAATTAATTCTTAACTAGTAGCTTCACCAAGTCAGTGCTAAGCCATAGTCTCAACTCTGAGCTAGCCTTGTTCAAAGAGAGCAGGGTGGTCTTAAGTCTTGGGGACACGCCCACAATGTAACTGGCACTTCCCCGTGATTCACGGGTTAGGAAGGAGTTCTGTCCCTCTCTATCTTTACGTCTTTTCTTCTGCTAGGTCCAAGGACATGAAGAGGCACATGCGAATGTCAGAGAGAGAAATAAATGTTCGAGTTGCAGAGAAGACATCCATGCTTTATTTAAGAAGTTGGGAAAAAGGTAAAACATTAAGGAATCTGGTGGTTGAGGCAATGGTTGAGTGGGCAAGAGCATTTGCCTCGTAAGCAAGATGACCTTTGAATCTGAATCCCCGTCAACGAAACAGAAAGCCAGGCATGGCTGCATGTGCATTGGGTGGTAGAGGCAAATTGGCCCCAAGAGCTTCCTTCTTGGCCGGTGAGTCTTCCTGGAATGGTGGTCTTCCAGCTCAGTGGGAGTCCCTGTGCTGAGTCATTAAGGTGGAGAGAAGTTGATGAAGACCTTGTGTCCCATTCTGACCTCTGCATACACATTGGCACACAATCATAGATGACAGAGAGAATCTGAATTTAACTCATTAGTAGAGTCTTTGCCGCTGATTCATTATGTTCTGAGTTTAATCCACAGTAAACACACACACACACATACACACACACACACACACACACACACACACACACACACACACTTAAGACCATGAGGAGCCTAGGTGTCATAGTGCATGCTTGTAATTCTAGCATGTTGGAGGTGGAGATACCAGGAACTACATAGTGAGTTTGAGGCCAGCCTGAACTACATGTGAACCTGCTTACAAAAAGAAATCAATAAGGACTAACATCCTTATCTCTAAACCAAAATAATCAACAACAAAAAGAGAGGGTAGAGATGCCAAAAATGGCGTGGACACTGGAACACACACCTGTAATGCCAGCCCTCAGGAGACTGAGGCAGAAGGATCGGAAGTTCCATTCCAAGTTGAGTGACATGGTAAGGCCATTTCAAGTAGACAAATGGGCACGTTCTACAGTTTACAATGGTCTGTGTGTGTCCCCTCTACAATCCAAGTGTTGCAACTCACTGCCCAATGCACGGGAACTAACAAGTGGGAGTTTACTCTAATCAGTGTAGAGATCCTCAAAAAAAACTAAAAACAGAGCTTTCATACGACCCAGCTATTTCAGTCCTGGGGAAAGTCTCAAAGGACTCCAGATGCCACAACAGAGAGACCTGTACATCCACGTTCATTGCTGCTCTATTCACAATTAGCTAGGACATGGAAACCAGTCTGGGGATCTATCAGCTTATGAATGATAATGAAAATGTGATTCATAAGCCCAATGGGGGATAATCAATCACACTGCCAACCTGGAGTTTGCATTTGCATTAATTAAATTAAATCGATCTTGGGTCAGAAAGCAGGGTTAACAAATAGTTGACAGAAAGTAATCATAGAGCAGCAGAGGGCATCTGAAAGAGACAGAGAGACCCAGGGGAAGGAGGAGGGAGGGGTTTGGAGTGGTGCAGTTTTTCTGGTTTGGCGAAGCAGATGCATGGGTCATTCAGAGACACCAGCAAGGAGAGAAGGTTAGCTAGTTGTGACTCAGCCTCTCTGAGCTAGCAGGTGTTCACTCCAACCTTTGAATCTTGAGTCTTATTTATAAGTATAATGATAAAGATTTAGTTAAAGCTACTTTTAGCGGCAGTGACAGAGCCGGTGCCTTCAGGAACAGAATTCCCAGCAGGCTGCAGCCTGAGCATCCAGACCTTTTCTGGAGAAGCAGGCTGGTAACTGCAGAGTTGCAATTGATGGCTGAGACAGTAGTAGATTAAGGCGTAGCCATTGTGCAGAAGTTAAAACAGCAATAGGATTCTATCCATTGCTAAAGAAAATGAAAATAGATAAATGAATGGAACTAGAAAACATTAAGAACCATACATTTTCTCTCATATATGGAGCCTAGTTTAAAATTTCAGATTTATGTGTGATTGTCAGGAGGAGGCCAGGAATCAATAAAAGGTCCATGGGTGTGTGTGTGTGTGTGTGTAAAAAAGTTGTATTGGATGAAATAGTAAAGCCCGTGATGGGAAAGAAGAGTGAACAAGAGGGGTGGAGAGGCTTAAACAGGGTGGGGTGAGGAGATGGGGAAGGGTGAGGGGGCAAGAAAAAGTAAGGATTTATGAAGACGTGAAGAAACCTGCTATCTTATAAGTCAAAAATGCAATTTAAAAGAAAAGAGAGTTTAAATGAAGGAACACTGCATGGTTCTGTAACCATGGGTTATAGACTACTCTCCAGGAGTTGTTGGTCAGGGAGACCCCAGAAGCCCCTAAACCACACAGCTATTGCCCTTGTTCCCAGTTGTCTACCGGAACTAGATGGTGAGACCCTGTTGCTGAGGACATCACACACTTATGTTGTGATGCGTAGAAGGATCTGTTTGGAGCAGGGCTGGGAGTTTCTTCCCTGCTGGGTGTTTTTAGGGGTGGTGGTGGTGGAAAGTTCTGTGCAGTCTGCTGGGGTAGACAAGTCATCGGTCTTTTACCCTGCAGGGGACCCTGTGTGCTACAATAGCCATCTGCCAGGCAAGTTGAGCCCACTGGTACAATAGTGCCATGCATGCTATGTTAGCAACTACCACTTCTGGTTCAATTCAAGGCCCGTTTCACAGGACGGGATGCATAGCTGGTACTGTAGACCTGGTTAGAAACCCAAGGTTACGAAGGTCATGGGCCCCAGGGAAGGATGTCTTCCTGTTGCTTTGCTAAATGGATGTGGTGTCAAACCGCCTTCAGAGTATTTGTGTTTACACACATAGTGTAGTCCCATTGTCAGACAAACTTCTTTTTGCTGTGATCAGCAGTTAATGGTGAGAGTCAGACTTCGTTCATGTGTTGAGAATAAAGCACTCAGACAGACCTGGTGGGATGTTTCTATCCCTCCCTCACCAAGGCTCAGGGGACATTGTGGAGGCAGGGATGGTAAGAATGTAAGAGCCCTAGGATTGCAGTTGTGAGGAATGCTATAAAATGCTGTCTTCTGCACATGGCATTGCCATTGCACTCACAAACTCACTGCGTTTATGGCTACCTGCATGAGCTGGATCCTGTCAACACTGCAGCATAGATGGTGGTGGGGCACTGGAGGCTCCACTCCTAGCTGAAAACTTATGTATGGGTAGTGGTGGAAACCGGGAAAGGAGAAGCCATTTCCCCTGCCCTCAGGGCTGTGGCCATTTTACGTTATCCAGTGGATAACTCTAAATCCATGTGCATGCAGGTAACCCTAGTTATTTTTGGAAAAGACGTGAGAAGAGGAGGGGATTTAGTAGGGTACGGAGAAGATAAAACGTTCCATGGAGGGAGATAATTGAGAGGAATGGAGGTACATACCATTAAAGTAATTCTATATATGTGTCCTGGTTAGGGTTTCTATTGCTGCAATGAAACACCAGGACCAAAAGCAACTTGGGGAGGGAAAGGGCTCATTTGGCTCACACTCCCACATCACTGAAGGAAGTCAGGACAGGAACTCAAGCAGGGCAGGAACCTGGAGGCAGGAGCTGATGCAGAAGCCATGGAGGGCGCTGCTTACTGGCTTGATCCCATGGTTTGCTCAGCCTGCTTTCCTAAAGAATCCAGGACCACCAGCCCAGGGGCAGCATCATCCGAAATGGGCAGGGCCCTCCCCCATTGATGACTAATTGAGAAAATGCCTTACAGCCAATCTCATGGAGGCGTTTCCTCAGCTGAGGCTCCTTCCTCTCTGATGACTCTAGCTCGTGTCAGGTTGACACACAAAATCAGCCAGTACAATGTGTATGAAATTATTGAATAAATAAAAACATTACAGAATATATACTTGTTTTCAGTTTTTATTTCAGTGTGGTGAGCTCTCTGGATATGTATCTTACACCTTATTAATCTTTTTTGCTGTTGTTCAGATAGGGCCTATCTAGCTTTGAATACATCCATAATGGTAATTTCTGTTGAGTTTTGATCTCAAGCATCTTTAAAATCCTCTCTTGGCACTTTGCTCTCCTCTAACACCGTTCTTCAGCTCTTAGATGTTCCTCGGTGCTCCTTACATCTCGCAACGCAATCACAGCCATTTAAGAACTCCCAGTCAGTGTAAGGCGTGGCATTGCCTAGCAATTTCCATTGAATCAAAGCATCCCCTCCTCCACGGAGAGTGTTTGCTTGTTTCGTTCACCGATTGGTAGCAGCACACCTGCACCTTTGGTAAATATTGACCTGAATGAGTGAAATACGAGGGGGAGTTTCAGGGACACCAAACACGCAGATAGAACTACAGAGACAGAAGCATAAGCAGCTGCGAATAGCCTAGGTATACCCCAAATAGAATACAGGGTGTGTAGATTTGGGAGTTGAGATGAGAGCCACTAGAAGAGCAAGTTTAGCAGGAGAGATGATAGTGATGACAAGTAATGAGCCAGCAAGATGCTTGATGCCACAAGGGGCGACCAAACCAGCCAGGAATCAGTTGGTGGCATGGGGGAATTTCTATCAGTGACAAACAGCCAGAAAGCCCATTTCAGCTTCTATTCTACACATCACCCTCGGATGCTAAAGAAAGAAAAGACCAGGTTAGCACCCTGTGGGAGTTCACTGTGTCTCTTCTGTAACAAGCCCCCATCCCCTTCTGCCCATGAGAGACATCTGTTTTAGGGGGCAGTTTTAATACATTATGTCAGGCAAGTTTAATACAGCCAACTAAAGTATGTGCCACTTTGGGTTGCTATTTCGGGAGGGAAGAAGGGGGAAACAAAAAGCTCTGTTCAACTGAACTCAGGGGTCAGTTTTTGGATTGATGTCCCCTGGGCCTGTTGTGCTTACAATCCTGCCTCTCTCATCCCTTGGTTATTTCCTGCAGCAATAGAACTGCCAACACAAAACACAGTAAACTTGCTCTGGACAACAGTTCTTTACTGGGGTGGAGAAGCACAAGCAAACAGGAGAGAATTACAGAGTACGTTCTGGTCACTACGGGGGCTGGAGAAACACACAGTGTCTGTAAGAGTTTGGGGTGGACAGAGACCAAGGTTGAGAAATTCAGTGAACTTAATTAAACCTTCAGGCTTCGCTCCAAACTGTGGCTACAGATGTGCTTTATAAACCCAGCAGTGTGTTTCCAGACACCTCTCCTGACCCGTGGCCTCGGCACAGCAGAGAGAGTGACTTCTTTCAGTGTGGGGAGGATTGAGGAGGCAGGGGAGGGCAGGCGTAGGTGAGCTCCTGCAGAGCTTAGCTCTCAGCTCTCTGTGTTGGCCTCAGCGGGCCATGAAGCAGAGCTGATAAGTGGGGGGGATGTTGCCAAAGCCTGAGATCCTGTGAGAGATGTCAATATCAGCAGGAGGCACCAGAGACCGTAAGGAGAACCTCTGAAGGATGGAGGTGAAGTAGAGGAAGAGTTCCATGCGGGCCAGGGCTTCCCCGACGCAGATGCGCTTTCCTGCAGAGACACGTGATGGAAAGGGGTGTGGCAGCCCCTAGGGCCTCCTCAGCATCTCAGCTGTACCCACGATGTGGGGACGTTATCAAGACTCACTGGTGTCCCACTGTTTCTGCTCAACTACTGGCTGTCACCTAGAGGGACCTGACAGGTGGCAACTTCTTTTCTGCTCGCCCAGATTCTACCTGAGTTAGAACCAGAAAGACCGGTTCCAAAGGATCCATGAGGGCTGGGGTGTGACTCATCAGCAGAGCATGGACAGGATTACTCCAGTGAGAGACTTCAGTGTGTGATGCGGTGATAAAACATTTGCTCAGAGTTTGTGAATTCCACCCCCAGAGCAGAAAAAAAAAAACAATAAAAAAGCAACATAACTTCAAAACTGTTCATTTCCGTTCCTCACAGGTATTTCAAATGTCTTAGATATCAAATACTAGGGAGATTTTTTTTTTAATCTAAGAATTCTATTTAAGGCTATTTTCCTGGTGGCCAGAAACTGTTCCAACAGCGGGAAGGGATTAATCGCCATTTCATGGTTCAGACTTGAATAATTCATCCAAGGTTCCCGGTGTCCCATGACAGGATGCCAAGGCCACTCACTGGCCCACAAACCTCTGCCTGTGAGGCCAATCTATGGTGCTGTTTTGTATCAGAGTGTGAATGCTTTTCTTCTTTTAGAATGTTTGAGAATATTCAGAGAAAAAATATTTTGTGTGAGTGAAACGAGTTTCATGTCTCAGTGCTCTTGAATGAGAATATTTACATTTTCACACATACATGGTCATTCAGTCAAGTGTTTTCAGTGGCTACATCTGTCCACGGTACATATTCCTATGGCTGACAAAACATGATTTAATTTGATCCTTAGCATAACATGGTTAAGTTTACTAAATGCTTGTGCACTGCTATTGTTGCTCTAACATTGTAATTTTTTTCGTTGTTTTCAGTTGTTTTAAAGTCAGGATTTCGCTGTGAGCCCAGGCTGGCTTTCTTTCCACTTGAAATCTTATTACTGCTGGCTTTTGAATACTGAGATTGAGTGCATACACCACTATGCCCACCATCATTCAAGTGAATGATCCTAATATTCCCTCATCTGGGATTTTAGGATTCTTATAATCCTATAGCACAGACCTTGGAGAGACTACTTTAGCACTTTTCTGGGGGAAACCTAGGCATAATTACCTACCAGAGGAAAAGGCCACAAAGGCATCGTTCTTCTTGAAGCGCCCTTGTTCATCCAGGAAGTGTTGAGGATAAAAAGCATCGGGGTAGCGGAAGTATTTGGGATCTCTGAGGACTGAGCCAATCAGGGGGTACACATCTGTGCCCTGGGAGACAGCCAGAGGCCATTAGAATTCTGCGTTGGGCAATGGGGGTACAAAAACAGGCAGAGAGTTCAGGAAAGGGTGATAGGACAACGGTGGGGTACAACCTCACCTTGGGCAGGAAGTAGCCTCGGAAATGAGTGTCCCGTGTGACATTATGGGGGACACCCAGAGGCACAATGTCTGTCAATCTCTGTATCTCATGGATGACAGCATCAGTGTAGGGCATCTTGGCCCGGTCCTCCACGGCTGGCATACGGTGTGTCCCAATCACCTGGTTAATCTCCTCGTGAACCTTGGCTGTAAGATGGAAGACAATATACCAGGAAAGGTGACAAGAAAGGCTGACATTTGTTTTAATTGTTCAGTCCTTGTTTTTATTTGTGGTTGGGGGAACATGTGCTTGCCTGTCTATCAACAGGGCGTCACTAGGTAGTTCATGTTGGACTGGGACTCACTAAATAGATTTTATAGGGCTCAAAAACTCTGTCTCCCTACTCAGCCTCATATTGCTGGATGGCATGTGTGAGGTACATGTCTGGCCAGGGAATGTCTGTGTTGAGAGGCTAGGGCAAGTCATGTTCTGAGTTTTGCAGATATCATTAAGTCAAGGATCTTGAGATGTAGACTCTGTTTCTCAATCCAGGAGGATTGCATGTGTTTGGATTGTTTCATTATATTTAACAACAGACATCACTGATACTTGAACACTCTTCCGGCATCCGGAGGTACACAGCCTAGATCCATAAATGTCATATGGGAATTTGGTTTTTACTTAAAAATACTAAGAAGCCATGGAAGGATAATGATCAGGACAGTACGCTGAGTCCAAGCTGTACTGTGTAAAACCAGTGTTGGTTTTTACTCAGCCAACGATTCGTTTTGAACTTGACTAGCACAGAAAAAGGCCACATTAGAGAGTTTTCTTCAGCAACAAATGACTTTTGATGACTGGAGTTCCCCAACCAGATCAGGTTCTGTTTGATATGAACAATGTAGTCAGCTGAACCTTGCCTGGGTGTGACGGCACATGTGTCATCCCTGCTTCCCAGGAGGCTGAAGAAGAGTGGTCATGAGACCAAGGCCAGCCTGGACTATGGTGAAGTCCCATCGCCAAGAGAAAGGGTAAGGAAGAGGTCTATCTTCAAATCCTTGACATCAATGTCACGTATGTAAAGATGGCGTAAAGTCAGAGGAGACTTTGCAGGTCTCACTAAGTTTCTTGAAATGAAGAGATTAGCCAAATTATGCATGTTGGCCATGTATCTGAATCATAGAGAAGCAGGTAGGTAGGTAAGGGTTAGAAGAGGAAGAAACAGAAGAAAAGAGATGGGAAGGTGCCCTGCTCTGACTCTGTAGATGCAGGAAACAAGCTTGAGCCCAGGAACTCAAAGAAGGCTCTGGCAACTGGAAAGGTAGAGAGAAAGTCACTGTTTTCCTTGACATTCGTCTAATGGAAGCCACTCTGAGCAGAAGTCCTGACCAGGAGAGTGGGATGACAAATACAGGCTACTATGTCTCAACAGCTACAGGAAACAAATACAGGGACAGTCAGAGCGGTGAAGGACTCCACGTTCTGAGATCATCGAGGGAAGAAAGGCGAAGGTTGCGGGATGGTACAGTCTCAAGATTGCCATCCTTCTGAGGAGGCACAGGAGCTACCAGATGAGCTGCTCAGAGTGAAACTTACCCTCTACCTCGGGGTACTTCATCATCAGCAAGAGTCCGTAGCGCAACGTGGAACTCACTGTCTCTGTGCCAGCAAAGAAGAGATTGAGGGTGGTGAGGACCAGGTTCTTAAGGTTGAATTCTGTGTTGGGGTTGCTTTTATCCTGAAAGTAAAGGGGATTGTCAGCAGAATGGCCCCATGGAGCCTGTATCTTCCCGTTCCCTCTGTGCAGAAGAGGCACATTTGTGAAAGAAGGAAAGATGGGTTAAGAAAGTCCAGAAGAAACCATGCAAGCACGGGTGCTGAGGCAGGAGTATGCCTGATGTTTTGGAGGAAGGGCACGAGAAGGCCGGTGTACACGCAGTGTGCAAGAAGGTAAGGCAGGAGGAAGCCAGAATCTTACGCAATTTGATAGTTTGAGGGGCATTAGAGCACATAGTTTTCAACTGCCAAGTACTCAGGTTCCACAATGATTTCCCTAGAGTTCTAATGGTCAACACACAGGCATGCAGACGGCATACATCCCGACATCTCATCTCAACGACATTCAACTTGTGATTTTGAAGTTTAAACTCCAATTTAGAGAGTGAGCTTCCAAAATTCTCAGCTCCAAGACTCTGAAGGCACATTCTGATTTTCATTAAAGCCATCTGTTGTATAGATAGTATTAAGATTGTAAGATTTTAAGTTTCCTTATGCTACACCTTGTAGATTTAAAGTCTGTTTTAGAAAAATATGGTGTATATTTACGTGGTGTTGTGAAGAACACGGATATTGTCCTTTGCAGCAAAATGGGTAGAAGTAGGGGGGAATTAGGTTACTGGAAACAAGCCAGGCACAGAGGCAATTACTGCATGTTTTCTATTATAGACAGAAGCTAGGAAACATTTACTTGAACGTAGACCATGCTCACAAAGATGAAGGATGTTGGTTTTGACCAGTGCATGCTGTATAAGGAAGCATCACATGAAAGCCCATTAATATGCAATTAACACGTGATGTCTATTCTTGGTTGTCAGCTTTAAGTGGGAAGACCTATTTCATCTGGATCTTTGATGTGGGAAGATAAACCTTCAATTCAGGTCTTCTGAGGTGGCAAGACCCACCTTTAATCTGCTAGCAGCCCATCTAAAGGGACATGGAAGAAGGAAGTTTGCTTGCTCTGTTTGCCTGTTTGCTCTGGTCCTCACTGGCAAGTCCATTCTTTACTGGCATTAGATCCCACATCTTCAGGATCCTTGCAGATACTGAAGACCAGATGAGACATCCAGCCTCATGAACTGAACAACTACTGGATTCTTGGACATTCCGTTGGTAGACAAACATTGTTGACTAGCTGAACCACATCCTGTAAGCCATCCTAACAAATCCTAAACACACACACACACACAGACACACACACACACACACACACACACACACACTGTGTAAGTTCTGTTCCTCTATGGGTCATGACCCCCACAGGTGTCACATATCAGGTATTTATATTGCGATTAATAACAGTAGCAAAATTAGTTATGAAGTAGCAATGAAACAATTTTATGGTTGGGGGTCACCACCACATGAAGAACTGTATTAAAGAGTTGCAACATTAGGAAGGTTGAGAACCACAGCTCTAGAGAATCTTGACTACATGTTTATGCTGAAATAAATTTGATTTTATTAATTTTAAGGGAGTTTATTGAAAGGTTCAAGTGGCTTGCATTTCTATAGTTTCTACATTTTATCTAGAGAGCAAAGTAAACTACATGAGATAATATTTTTCTCTTTCCTGTAACAGTTGCAAGATGGGTTTTCAAGGCTTCAGAGGACAGAAAGAATGACATAAAGGAAAAGTACCTCGTACATCTTGATGAGAAAGCAGTCGATGAAGTCCCTAGGGTTTGAAGGATCAAAGGATGCTTCATTGATCTTGACCCTGGAGGCAATGAAGTCCTTAAGGTCTTCTATCAAGTTATAGAGGTGGTTGTGACTTCCTGGAAAATACTGCATGACTCCCCAGAACATGTCGTATAACTGTGGGGCAGAGGCAAAGGGGTATGTGTCGGTCATGGGTGTCAGGGACCAGACAGACCGAGTTCTAAAGTCAGAGAGTTGGGCTCTTGTGGCTGGAGCTAGGGCAGAGCAGAGCTCACTCTCAAGCCCATCACCAGGGAGACTGAAGAGGAAGATCAGCAGTTCAAGGCCAGCCCAAGCTACACAGAGACACCCTATTTTACTGAATAGTCTACTGTTGGGTCTGAGGTTTGGGTGTCACCCTTTGTTTCCTGAACACTTGGACGAAAGCGCCTCCGAGGGATGCAGAACAGAGGCTTGGTTGGCACACAGGAAAGACGTGCTTGAGACTGAAGGGTGAGCGCACAGCTGACTGGCGGCCACTACGTACCTGTGCCCAGGGCTTGCTCATCTCCACAAACGTTTCATTGATCATCTTCATTAGGTTCTGAAAACATTTGTCCTCATAGTTGAAGCGTTTTCCAAAGACAATGGAACAGATGACGTTGGACACCGTGCGGCTCAGGTAGGAGGTGGGATCTATGGGAGCTCCTAGAGGTAGACATGGACTATGTTGAGACAGTCACAAGTGAGGTAGACATGGACTATGTTGAGACAGTCACAAGTGAGGTAGACATGGACTATGTTGGAGACAGTCACAAGTGAGGTAGACATGGACTATGTTGGAGACAGTCACAAGTGAGGTAGACATGGACTATGTTGGAGACAGTCACAAGTGAGGTAGACATGGACTATGTTGAGACAGTCACAAGTGAGGTAGACATGGACTATGTTGAGACAGTCACAAGTGAGGTAGACATGGACTATGTTGGAGACAGTCACAAGTGAGGTAGACATGGACTATGTTGGAGACAGTCACAAGTGAGGTAGACATGGACTATGTTGGAGACAGTCACAAGTGAGGTAGACATGGACTATGTTGAGACAGTCACAAGTGAGGTAGACATGGACTATGTTGAGACAGTCACAAGTGAGGTAGACATGGACTATGTTGAGACAGTCACAAGTGAGGTAGACATGGACTATGTTGAGACAGTCACAAGTGAGGTAGACATGGACTATGTTGAGACAGTCACAAGTGAGGTAGACATGGACTATGTTGAGACAGTCACAAGTGAGGTAGACATGGACTATGTTGGAGACAGTCACAAGTGAGGTAGACATGGACTATGTTGAGACAGTCACAAGTGAGGTAGACATGGACTATGTTGAGACAGTCACAAGTGAGGTAGAGCAAGAAAACAGTACCCAGGCTAAGTCCTGGTCCCACTGCCAGCCTCCCCACTCCCACAGATGGAGCCACACAAACTGTCACTCATATTCAGAGAATCTAGTTCAGTCCCATGCAGGATCCCCAACTATCAGTCCGGTGTCCATGAGCTCCCACTAACTCAGGTCATCTGTCTCTGTGGTTTCCTCCATCATGATCTTGAGCCCCCCCGCTCATATAATCACTTCTCCCTCAACTTGGCATACCAAACTTTGTTGACTCCTCAAGGGAAGCCTTACCCCTTGGAGAAGTGGGTATTGGTAGGGTGGGGAAGATGGGGGGGCAGGAAAAGGGGAGGGAGGGAAATGGGCTAGTATGTAAAATGAAAAAAATTTAAATAAAAACATTTGTTTTGTTAGAATAAGAAGGAGGAGGAGGAGGGTGAGGAGGACGAGGACAAGGAGGAGGAGGAAGAGGAGGAGGAAGAGGAGGAGGAAGAGGAGAAGGAGAAGAAGAAAAGAGAAAAGAAAAAAAATCACTCAGTGTTGACACAGAACCCCAGGTCTACTGTTTAGTGGTATGCATGAGTGCCTGTTTTAATATCTGAGTCTAGTTTTCCCAAACTACAACCTGGTTTGGAAATCTCCTGATTGATCTGTGAGTGTTCAATATGATGATGTTTGTAGCATGGCTCCTGGCCTGGAATAAACACCCAAGAAATGTTAGAGAAGTTCAGCGTGAACTTGTCACTGTTGCCTGAATGCATCTGTGGTGAATGCAAAGCAATAAAGGACATATCTGAAAAAAGAAAAACAAACAAACAAATAAAAAACCAAAAATCACCCAAGGAGGCTGGAGAGACAGCTCCGTGGTTAAGACCACTGGCTGCTCTTGCAAAGGACCCGGGTTCAATTCCCAGCACCCACAAGGCAGCTCACAACCGTCTGTAACTCCAGTTCTAAAAATCATCTGGTTTCTGGGATCACCAGGCATGCACAAGGTACACAGACATATGTGCAAGCAAAACATCTGTACACATAGAATAATAACACACTTTAAAAAGAATGCCTGAATTAAGTCTTGGTTTCCCAAAAGAATCCATTTAGCTTATTAAGGAATTCTTCCTGGGGCTGGGGAGAAGAGAGCTCAGCAGACTAATCATTTGCCACATAAACTGGAGTTAGAATCCTAAGCACCCAGATAAAAAGCTGGGCCGTTTTAAAAAGTGTAGTCTCTGATTCAGCACTCGAGAGGTGGAGACAGGTGTTCTCTGGGAAAAGCTGGCTAGCTAGATTTGTGGTATGGAAGCACTCCGGATTCGGTGATAATTCACGAGTAACTCAGTAAATAGAGGTGAGAGGGATGGAGGAAGACCACTGATGTCAACCTCCGGCCTCCACACATACGTGCACTCGTGTGGAAGCACAGGTGCGTGCGTGGGCACCCATACGTGTGAACGCATATGCACATGCATACATACGGAAAAAGAAATTATTTCGATAGGTCTCAGACGCGTTATCTGTAAAATGGGCTCCTGGTCAAGCAATTTACCCAGAGCTGTGCACACATTCACCATGTGCAACTAACTTCTGGAGGTAGAAGACTGTTCAAAGCAAAGCCATGGGTGGACTCTATTCATCTACCAAGTCCGGACAAGGAACTTCCGACGTAAAGAGCTGTATATCTGTCTGTATCTCTTCATCCATTTGTTTCTATATTGCTCAATCTTTGCCTTTTCTTTCTAGACTCTATTGGCTCCATACCTTATTTTAGACACTTTTAAAACCTGAAATAAAACAAAAACCACACACAAACAAAAAACCCTCAGAGTCTGTTTTGTGTTTTGACCAGTATACTCCTGGGCATGGGGGCCTCTCTGGAGGGTGGTTGATATTAATCACTGACACTCCATCGGAGAAAACCAATTTTCCCTTTCCAGCAGGCATCGATTGCAAATAGCTTCTTGGTTAGGGGTGTTTGTGTGTTTTGACTTGCGAGAGAGAGAGAGAGAGAGAGAGAGAGAGAGAGAGAGAGAGAGAGAGAGAGAGAGAGAGAGAGAGAGAGAGAGAGAGAGAGAGAGAGAGAGAGAGAGAGAGAGAGAGAGAGAGAGAGAGAGAGAGAGAGAGAGAGAGAGAGAGAGAGAGAGAGAGAGAGAGAGAGAGAGAGAGAGAGAGAGAGAGAGAGAGAGAGAGAGAGAGAGAGAGAGAGAGAGAGAGAGAGAGAGTTAACTGAAGCAATTTCAAAGCCGGCCTGGCTGCATAGTGAAAACATGCCCTCTCCCCACACCAGGGGTGGGAGGGAGCAAAGACCTTCAAAATGAAACATTTCTAAGCATTTGTTTCACAGTGATGTGAGTATGCCTACCACTGGCAAACTCTACTCTTTTAAGAATTCTCTTGTAATTGACTTTTATTTGTGTATAGGTGTTTTGCCTGCATGCATGTCTATGGACTCCATGCATGCCTGGTGCCGTGGAGGCCAGATAAGGGCATCTGATCCCCTGAAACTGGAGTTAGGGACTGTTGTGAGCCTCGTGTGGGAGCTGGGGATCAAACTCAGGTCCTCTGGATGAGCAGTCAGTGCTCTAGCAGCTGAGCCATCTCTCCGGCCCCCCAAACTGTACCTGCCCTTAAAGATGGTGAAGATGGTAAGTTTTGTGTTGTTTTCTTCATCACAATGATGCCTCTGTGACATAGCAATATTGGATTCTTTCCTCTGAAAGGATGCCAGTTCACCCGACACTAGAATCCTGAATGGTTTCTTGAGCTGCAGACCGCTGAGGTTCACCGACGAGCATTTCTAGAGTCCCTCAGAATCTTCCATGTTGACTCTTAACATATGGAACCTCACTGGCGATCCCTGTGAACCTTTAACGCTTTCCATCCTTTCCTATTTCGGGTCTTTCTCCCACCTAGTCTTCCCATGAACTCAGCTCTCCGTAAACGCCCAGCCACCCGATGTGATCTCCATACCCTTGACTTTATGGAGTTCTTCCAGTAGGTAGCCCGCCTCCTCCTGGATCCGCTCCTCGATGGTCCGCTTTCCCATCCCAAAGTTTCGAAGGACAACCAGAGAAAAACGCCGAAGAACCTTCCATCGTTCTCCATTGGACAGAGCTAAACCTGCCGGAATGTCAGTGGTCAGGCCCCTGCCCACCCTTCCCGCTTTCTGCTCTAAAGTCTGTGGCAGACACAATAATGAAAGCTCAACCTTCCAGACTCAATGGGAAATCAAGATTCCCTCTGAAATAGTCCAGACTGCAGGAAAAGAGAATGAGGCTCAGAATAATCAGGGAGAGCTAGGTTTTCTTATAGGCCAGTGAGCTGTGGCTGGGTTAGTTGCGTGTTTAATACCTAGAAAAGCTGAGGAGGTAAGGATGGGATGCCATATAGAGAATTCCCTAAATAGAATTGTTAATTCTATTTTCTGGGCACCATTGCACTATCCAAACGTGTGTGTGTGTGTGTGTGTGTGTGTGTTTACAGATGCTCACAACTGTACATCACTGCAACTATACAAAAGAAGTTACCTTGCATGAAGACTAAAGTAAAAACCACTTGACGTGTGGATGGGTGAATTGCTTGGAAATTTAATGGTGTCATTTTAGAATATATTGATAAATGAAAGGAAGAGCGGAACAGTGGGGTTCAGAGGAGGGCATCAGATCCCCTGAAACCGGAGATGTGGATGGTTGTGAGCCCCACGTGAACCCCAAACTCAGGTCCCCTGGATGAGCAGCTAGTGCTCTGGACTGCAATGGTGTGGTGAATGGGTGGGTGGACGCCTCTCTGTCTGGTTAGACATGAGGATGAGAGACTCTGAGTGAAGTGTTAGCGGATAGAGGGGTTACGACGAGCAGATAGTGGCTAGAAAAAAGGTGGATGGATGGAGGAGCAGGTGGATGTAAAAATTTACAGCGTGTGAGGGATTCACTGCGTGAACCAAAGTATGAGTGGATTCATGGATACATAGAACATTGAAAGAAATATGAATAATAGGGTGGAAAGATGTTTGCCTGCAGAGGATAACGGATATATTTTGATGAATTTATAGGACGATTGGTAGACTTGAGAAAAACGTGTATTGACATAAGGATAGATAGGTAGATGGACAGACAGGCAGATGAAAAGAAAGAGTCACGTGAGCTGCCCGCGTTTGAAGAATGCAGGCAAGTAGGGGTGGCTGCATAGGTAACACTAGGCAAGAATATTCCTAAACGCAGGTGCTGGTGGCCTGTGTGACCTGCATACGGGCAGATAGGAACTACACGTGGCTGCGAAGGCTCTCGGGAGGTGCGTAAATAATCTCTCTCTCTCTCTCTTTTTTTTTTTTTTGGTTTTTCGAGACAGGGTTTCTCTGTGGCTTTGGAGGCTGTCCTGGAACTCGCTCGGTAGACCAGGCTGGTCTCGAACTCACAGTGATCCGCCTGCTTCTGCCTCCAGAGTGCTGGGATTAAAGGCGTGCGCCACCAACGCCCGAGGTGCGTAAATAATATCACACGGTAATTCACTAAGAGTAGAGATAACGCTGCAAGCACTTTAGATCCCAAATTCTGGAAATCAAAAACAGAGCAGCCCTCACACATACCGTGTGACACTACCTAACCTTTCTCACCATCAGTGCTCGTGCTTCTGAAATTAGCAGCGTGTTCATTCCCCCTCTGGGGACTCAGTGTATGTGACTCATGAATCATTTACCAGAGACCCTTCAACACATAGCGTGTTGCAATCACTTCTCTTCTCGGTGCAGCCACTTACCATGACCTTGGAAGCTCTTCTCCACCGTAGGCATTTCACCGCGGCCACTGAAGTCATCTGCTTGGTCTACCAGGGCCTCCTTCACAGCTTCATGCCCATACAAGACAACCACTGGCCTTGGACCAAAGTGCACAGTGAACACAGGGCCATATTTTTTCTGGAGCTGGGAGTGAAGGAAGATGGTGAGGTAAGGAGTAAACTGGAGAGGGACGAGACTGTCAATCAAGGAAATGCAGAGCGCAGAGGCTGTAGGAGGATGAAAAGGTGGAATGTGCCGGGCTTGGAAGGGCTACTGGGGGAAAAACCATCAAACCGATTCCTGTGACTTGGACATGATTTTGTACATCTTAGTCTTGCTTGTGAAACAATGGACTTGGAATAGCTGAATTCTGCAGTCTACACCTTCTCTCTTTGAAATGCTAGTTTTCTAGCATCGCAAAAGTCTAAGACGACTTGAAAATGAAAGTTATGCTTAAAGAAGTGAGAGTTCCCCAAGTCATTAGACTTGTGTGTGATCCAGAGTTCTGAGAAGAGGGAGGTTGTTCTAGTGAACTCAGGATCTAAGATATTTTTCCCCCTTGATGTTAGGATTCTGTAATTTAAGATTCCTAAGGATTCTTTCTGAGTCTGTGTTTAGGAATCATGTGATCTGGTGTGTACTCAGCTATGCTGTTTGGATGTTAGGATTCTGTAATTTAAGATTCCTGAAGAGTCTTTCTGAGTCTGTGTTTAGGAATCATGAGGTCTGGTGTGTATTCAGCTATGGTGTTTGCTGCCTTCATTTGCTCTAAGAAGAAATGGACGCACTCACCTTCAGGAAGGATTGGAATATGGCATCAATGCGGACTTGTAGCAGGTTCCCCAAAAATGGTATTGGTGTGGGGCCAGGGGGCAGCTTCCCTCCCTTACTGGTTCTTTTCCAAGCGATCAAGATGAGCAAGCAGGACAAGCAGAGTGCCAGAAAGATGCTGAAGGCTCCTCCCAGAGCCATGGTGCTGAGTCAAGGGCTTGCATCCTTGGGTCCAGATCCTGCTTAAATAGCTTCTAGGAGATCAATTTGTACTGAAACCTGAATCCTGTGGGAGTCACACTATCCCTGGATTATGCTATAAGGAGGCAGATCACTTGGTGGGTGTGGAGTTATGCAACTTCTAATCTCTCACCTGCTCAGAGGTATATTGATTCACCCAGAAAAACTCTACAACGGGTTATCTCTTTTCTTCCCATTTCAAGTTTCCCAACTGTCCCTCAGTGTCATGTTATTTGCGGCATCTGAGAAGCAATCTGTTTATAGGGAATCTGCACAAACTATAGACTTTCCTACATTATCTTGCCACGGGAGCTTTCCTCCCTCAGACCTTCCTTTCTTGCCCACAAAATGCTATTTCCTTGGGCATTCCTTTCACCTGTCCAAAGAATGCCAGGGGCAAGATGTTTCCTTTCCTAGTTTAGCACAACCAAGGGCATTGTGAAAACAGCCCCTGAGACTTCCCTACCCAGTAATGAGGACTACTGTGGTGTGTGTGTGTGTGTGAGAGAGAGAGAGAGAGAGAGAGAGAGAGAGAGAGAGAGAGAGAGAGAGAGAGAGAGAGAGAGAGAGAGAGAGCATGTGGAGTTGGGAGTAAAAGCTGTAAGGGCATAGGAGAGAAATTGGAGAGGAGAGGATGGGGCGTGGATGTGATCCAAACACATTGAATTCAAGCATGAAGAAGTAAACGAAATTTTATACAGTTCTTATCTTGTATAATGAAAGAGTAGATTATGTTGATTTGTCTAGACTCCGTGATGTGATGTCTAAGATGCAGAGAGCCCCCCAGGACCCTGCCATATGGATAGGAGTCACCATTAGAGCTGTTGACTAGTATTCACTGTCCTTAAGAACCTCAACCGTTCCCAGATCTTTCATGCCAAATGCCTACAAGACTTCTTTCCTGTCCGCAAACACATCCACGGGTTACCGCTCTCTTTCTGCGCGTTCTGGCACCATCACACAGATCTGACCCTGGTTTCTCCCCTTTGGGAATGGAGTTCTTTTTATTTACCTGCAGGTTCCAAGAACAGAGCTTGAGTCAGGCGTGACACCTGTGACTGTTGTCTCAGCAGCTAAATCAGGACTGAGGGCCAGGCTGGGCTATGTGGTAAGAACTGGACAGGGAGGATGATGAAGATTGAGCTGGCTGGGCTGAGGTGTCCTGTGTCCAGAAGTGGTGGGAATTCTAGGCAGACAAGAAGGTGTCACTCTCTCTGTCTTAGGTCTGCTGCCAGGAGACCTTTCTGAAGAAACAAGAGAAACAATTAGCTTCTCGTCCACTTTCATGGCTAATGTGTCCCTTAGCTTCATTCTTCTCTTCCTCATCGCCGAATATTACCCTTTCTTCATCCCCTTTCCACATGCTATACTACACGCATGTATGTACACTTGTTTACATATGTAAATGCATACATGATAGAAATTGTTTTGGATGTTCCTCAAAAACAAACAACAACAAACACCCATCCTCAAAAAACAAAAAAAAAAGCCAGGCTGCCATATAACCCAGCTGTTTCTCTCCTGGTTACCTGCCCAGTGAACCCCACAACCTCACCATGGAGATATTAGCACCTCCAGGCTCATTTCTGCTCTGTCCACTACAGCAAGGAAATGGAACCAACGTAGCTGCTCATCAACAGGTGGATGGATATTGAAAACCCAGCGCATGTCTAAAATCGAATCCTGGTCAGCTCTAAAAGAAAAATGAAGCCATAAACTCTGCAGGGAAATGAATGGATTTAGAATATGCAATATTAACTGAGGCTGTACAAGCTCAGAGAGAGAGGAAGCTAAAACTCACTTGCGGGTCCTAGGGTGCCTTTCATAGGGCAGAGAGTCAGCTCTAGGGTCTCTCCTGACTTTTAGTTACATTTTGCCTCCTTTTCTCATGACCCTCGCTAACACACACACACACACACACACACACACACACACACACACACACACACACACACACACACAGGTATGATCTCTTAATTCTGCTATGGTGTGGTGATGAAGTGTGTGTGGGTGTGCATAGTGACAGCTGTGTCTCGTCTACCCAATTACAAATGAATGGACCATGTACTGGCTACTCTCCTGTCAACCTGACACGCAAACTAGAGTTGTTAGAAAGGAGGGGCCTTAGTTGACGGAATGCCTCCATAAGATCTGGCTGTGAGGCATTTTCTTAATTAGTGACTGATGGAGAAGGGGGCATCCCATTGTGGGCATTGCTATTCCTGGTCTGGTGGTTCTGGGTTCTATATGAAAGCAGGCTGAGCAAGTCCATGCTTCTGCATCAGCTCCTGCCTCCAGGTTCCTGACCTGTTTGAATTTCCTGTCCTGACTTCCTTCAGTGGTGAACAGCAATGCTAAAATATAAACTAAATACACCCTTTTCTCTTCAACTTGCTTTTTGGTCATGGTGTTTCATCGCAGCAATAGAAACCCTAACTAAGACAGACCTAGAGAAAGTACCTTTCACGTGGCTCTCCCCAGGAGTGGGGGTTGGGCGGGACTTGAACTCACAACTAGAAGGCAAACTAAAGAGAAATAATGATTGTAGAATGCCTGCTTCCTAGTTAGCATTGGTTGTCAACTTGACACAGTCCAGAGCTGTCTTGTAGGAGTCTTAGGAGTTTTGGGGATTGCCTCTGTTAGATGGGCTTGGAGGCATGTCTGTGAGGGTGTTTTTTGGTTTTGTTTTTATTGCTAATTGATATAGCAGGGCCCAGCTCACTGAGGGCGGTGTAACTCCTGGGCAGGTGGTTTTGGGTGGTATAGGGAAACTGAATGAGCACAAGCCAGGGGGACAAGCGAGTAAGCGAACTTTCTTACATAATCTCTGCTTTAGTTCCTGCCCTGACTTCTCTCAGTGATGAACTGGGACCTGGAGCTGTAAACCAAAAGCAAAATCCTTCCTTATAGCAGCAGCAACAACAAAACCTGAAACAGAAGCACCCAGCGAAGTTATGGAAGCCTTCCGGTGAGGGAGACCGGAAGAAGCCAAGAGGAAAGAGGCACGAGAAAAATATCAGAGCGATATGAACTGAACTGAGAGAGAACACTCGTGCAACAGAGATTTTTCCAGGGGTAAGGAATGAGCGCCAGACAGGACAAAACAAAGCCAAGAGAAAATCCAAAGAAGCCGAGAGTAGTGTTAGCATTGGGAGGAAAAATGACTCCGAGATTACTAAAGTGATGTCACTGAGGAAAGATGCAAGAAGGGCCTGGGCCCAGCTCCCTCCTCCTCTCCCCGAATAAGACCAACCGTGGTGGGGAGAAGTCTAGATGAAAAGCTGGACTCAAGACGGGAAAGAGGAGAGATGACTTAGATGACTTAGCGGTGAAGGGTGTGCTGCAAAGAGCTGATGATCTGACTTTCATCCCTAGAACCCACTGAGGGTGGGAGGGAGAGCCTGACTCCCACAGGGGCGTCCTCTTTTCCTATTCTGTGGGCTGCCTTTTTGTCTTGCTGACTGTGTCCTTTGCCTTACAGAAGCTTCTCAGTTTCAGGAGGTCCCATTTATTAATGGTTGACCTCAGTGTCTGTGCTACTGTGTTATGTTCAGGAAGCAGTCTCCTGTACCAATTTTTTCAAGGATAACTCCCACTTTATCTTCTAACAAGTTCAGTGTGGCTGGATTTATGTTGAGGTCTTTGATCCATTTGGACTTAAGTTTTGTGCATGGTGAAAAACATGGATCTATCTGCAATCTTCTACATGCCAGCATCCAGTTATGCCAGCACCATTTGTTGAAGATGCTTTCTTTTTTCCATTGTATATTTTTAGCTTTTTTTTTGTCAAAAATCAGATGTTCATACATGTATGGGTTAATATCAGGGGTTTCAATTTGATTCCATTGGTCTACCTGTCTATTTTTGTGCCAGTACCAAGCTGTTTTCAGGACTATAGCTCTGTAATAGAGATTGACGTCAGGGATGGTGATGCCTCCAGATGTTGCTTTGTTGAATAAGGTTGTTTTGGCTATCCTGAGTCTTTTGTTTTTTCCATACAAAGTTGATTATTTTTCTTTCAAGGTCTGTGAAGAATTGTTCTGGTATTTTAATGGGGATTGCATTATATCTGTATATTGCTTTTGGTAAGATTGCCATTTTTACTATGTTGATCCTACCTATCCAAGAGCATGGGAGATCTTTCCATTTTCTGGTGTCTTTAATTTCTTTCTTTAAAGACTCAAAGTTCTTGTGATACAGGTCTTTCACTTGTTTGGTTAACGTTACCCCAAGGTATTTTATGTTGTTTGTGGCTATTATTAAGGGCGATGTTTCTCTGATTTCTTTCTCAGCCCTTTTATCAACTGTACATAGTAGGGCTACTGATTTTCTTGAGTTGACCTTGTATCCTGCCACTTTGCTGAAAGCATTTACCAGCTGTAGGAGTTCCCTGGTAGAGTTTTTTGGGCCACTTATGTAAACTATTATCTCATCTGCAAATAGTGAAAGTTTGATTTCTTCATTTCCAATTTGTGTCCCCTTGATCTCCTTTTGTTGTTGTATTGCTCTAGTTAGGACTTCAAGGACAATATTGAAGAGGTATAGAGAGAGTGGACAGCCTTGTCTTGTTCCTGATTTTAGTGGAATTGCATTGAGTTTCTATCCATTTATTTTATGTTAGTTGTTGGTTTGCTGTATATAGCTTTTATTATGTTGAGGCAAGTTCCTGTTATCCCAGATCTCTCCAATACCTTTATCATGAAGGGGTGTTGGATTTTGTCAAAGGCTTTTTCAGCATTCAGTGACATGATCGTGTGTTTTTTTGTTTCTCAGCTTGTTTATATGGTGGATTACATTGATGAATTTTCATATGTTGAACCAACCCTGCATGCCTGGCATGAAGCCTACTTGGTCATGGTGAATGAGTTTTCTGATGTGTTCGTGGATCTGATTTTCCAGGATTTTATTGAGTATTTTTGCATCAATTTTCATGAAGGATATTGGTCTGAAGTTCTCTTTCTTAGTTGTGTCTTTGTGTGGCTTGGGTATCAAGGTTATTGAAGCCTCATAGAAAGAGTTTGGCAAAGACCCTTCTGCTTCTATTGTCCGGAATACTTTGAGAAGAATTGGTATAAGCTGTTCTTTGAATTTCTGGTAGAGTTCTGCACTGAAGCCATCTGGCCCTGGGCTTTTTTTTTTGGTTGGGAGACTTTTGATGACTGCTTCTATTTCCATAGGTGTTATAGGTCTGTTTAAATTGCTTATCTGTTCTTGATTTAATTTTGGCAGGTGATATCTATCCAGAAAATTGTCCATTTCCTTTACATTTCCAAATTTTTGTGGAGCACAGGTTTTCAAAGCATGACCTGATTATTCTCTGGACTTCCTCAGTGTCCATTGTTATGTCCCCCTTTTCATTTCTGATTTTGTTAATTTGCATGTTGACACTCTGTCGTTTGGTAAGTTTGGATAAAGGTTTGTCCATCTTGTTGATTTTTTCAAAGAACCAGCTCTTAGTTACATTGATTTTTTGTATTGTTTTCCTAGTTTCTGTTACTGATTTCAGCCCTCAATTTGATTATTTCCTGGTGTGAGTTTGCTTCTTTGTGTTCTAGAGCTTTCAGCTGTGCTGTTAATTCTCTAGTGTGTCTATTCTCCATTTTCTTCATGTGGGCACTTAGTGCTATGAACTTCCCTCCTAGCACTGCTTTCAAAGTGTCCCATACGTTTGGGTATGCTTTGTCTTCATTCTCATTGAATTCTAGGAAGTCTTTAATTTCTTTTTTTATTTCTTCTTTGACCCAGGAATAGTTCAATTTTGCTTTATTCAACTTCCATGAGTTTGTAGGGTTCCTGCAATTTGTGTTGTTGTTGAATTCTAATTGTAATGCATGGTGGTCTGATAAAGTGCATAGAGTTATTCAGTTTTTTTGTAGCTGCTGAGGTTTGCTATGTTGCCAAGTATGTGGTCTGTAGGAGTGAACCCCACAAAGCTATCCACCCGTGAGGGCTGGAGCATGTAAACTGACGCAGGTAGATATAAAAGGAAGTGAAAGGAAAAGGAACCTCCCTTTTTTCTCCTGGAAGCCAGACACACTTCTAACTCCTGGTCTGTGCGACTCTCTCTCTCTCTGGTAAATAAATATATTGTTTTCCATATATAGTATCGAATATCATTATAGTGGTCGATTTTTGAGAAGGTTCCATGTGGTGGTGAGAAGAAGGTATATTCTTTTTTATTCGGGTGGAATGTTCTATAGTTATCTGTTCATCCCAATTGGGTCATAACTTTCTATTAGTTCCTTTGCTTCTTTGTTAAGTTTTTTTTCTGGTAGTCCTGTGTAGAGGCGAGAGTGGGGTGTTGAAGTCTCCCACTATAAGTGTGTGGGGCTTTATATGTGATTTGAGTTTTAGTAATATTTCTTTTATGAACGTGTGGGTGCCTTTGTATTTGTGGCATAGATGTTCAAAATTGAAACTTCATCTTGGTGGATTTCTCCTGTGATGAGTATGAAGTACTCTTCCTTCATCTCTTTTGATTGATTTTATTTTAAAATCTAATTTGTTAGATATTAGGATTACTACCTCTGCTTGTTTCTTGGGTCCATTTGATTGGAAAAATCTTTTCCAAACCCTTAACTCTGAGGTGATGTCTGTCTTTGAGGCTGAGGTGTGTTTCTTGTATGCAGCAGAAAGATGGGTTCTGTTTTTGAATCCATTCTGCTAGCCTGTGTCTTTTTATGGGCGAGTTAAGACCATTAATATTGAGGGATATTAATGACCATTGATTGCTCATTCTTGTTTGTTTTGGAATAGTTGATGGTGGTGGAATTATATGTGTATTTCCACCTCTTTTCTTTCGGTTGTTGGTAAGGTATGATTATCTATTGCCTATGTTTTTCTGGTTGTAGTTAACTCCCTTGGGTTGGGGTTTTCCTTCCAGAACTTTCTATAAGGCTGAGTTAGTGGATATGTATTTTTTAAATTTGGTTTTGTCATGGAATATCTTGTTTTCTCCATCTATAGTGATTGAAAGCTTTGCTGGATATAGCAGTCTGGGCTGGCATCCATGGTCTCTTAGTGTTGGTAGAATATCTATCCAGGACCTTCTGGTTTTCAGAGTTTCCATGGAGAAGTCATGTGTGATTCTGATAGGTTTGCCTTTATATGTTACTTGACCTTTTTCCTTAGCTGCTCTTAATATTCTTCCTTTATTCTGTATGTTCGGGGTTTTTACTATTATGAGGCGAGGGGATTTCCTTTTGTGGTCCACACTATTTGGTGTTTTGTAGGCTTCTTGTACCTTCATTGGCATGTCTTTCTTTAAGTTGGGAAAGTTTTCTTCTATGTTTTTGTTGAATATGTTTTCTGCCCCTTTGAGGTGGATTTCTTTACCTTCTTCTATACCTATTATTCTTAGGTTTGGTCTTTTCATGGTGTCCCATATTTCCTGGATATTTTGTGTTAGGGATTTGTTGGACTTAAGATTTTCTTTGGTTGATGAATCTATTTCCCCTAGTGTATCTCCAACACCTGAGATTCTCTCTTCCATCTGTTGTATTCTGTTGGTTATGCTTGCATCTGTAGTACCTGACCATTTGCCCAGCCTTTCTATTTCCAGCATTACTTCAGCTTTCGACCCTTGTACTGAGAGACCCCAACTGAACATTTTTAGACCCCTATCAACTAGCCCAGCACAGAGTAACATGTTCTTTTGCCCTCTCCCGAGAAACCGGTGACCTCAAGATAAACTTAAAAGATAACACTTTCTGATCCAGGAACTAGCTCACCATATTCCTGATGCTCAATGTTTAACTGTACAACGCCCCAAGAATTCTTGCTCGAGATAACCTATAACCTTCCCGTGAAGACATGAGTTATCACCTAACTTTCCCATTCTTTATGGTGTTTGCCTAATCTCCCCATTTTTTGTGGTGCTTGCCTAAACTCCCCCATTCTTTATGGTTTTTCCCTTTAAAAATCCCTGACTGTAAGCCGGGCGTTGGTGGCACACGCCTTTAATCCCAGCACTCGGGAGGCAGAGGCAGGTGGATCTCTGTGAGTTCGAGGCCAGGCTGGACCTACAGCCTCCAAGACAGAGAAACCCTGTCTCATAAAACCAAAAAAAAAATCCCTGACTGCAGCTACTGGGAGTCGAACTCCTCTGCCCCTGCGAGGGTTATGAGCTTAGCCCCAGTGCACTGGTTCCCCAAATAAACCTCTTGTGCTTGCATCAAGAATGGTCTCTCTTGAATTATTGGGGTGTCAGCTTATCCCGAGACTTGAGTGAGGGTCTCCCCACTCTGGGGGGGTCTTTCAGTACTTTTTGAATTGTTTCTTGTAATTTTTGCTTTGTATTTTCCTCGCTTTCTTACATTTGTTGAAGTTTTTGGTTTGTCTTTTCTTCCATTTCTTGCAATTCTTGCATTTTGGATTGTTTTTTCCTCCATCTCTTGTATTTTTGGTTTGCTTTTTTCTTCCATGTCTTTAAGGGGTTTTCTCATATCCTCTTTGAGGGCCTCTATTATTTTCATGAAGTTGTTTTTAAGGTCTTTCTCATGTGCTTCATCTGCAATGGGCTGTTCAGGTCTTGCGGGTGTAGATTCTCTAGTTTCTTGCGGTGTCCTATTGGTTTTTCTGTTGGTGGGTGTGTTTTTGTATTGTCTCCTTCCTATCATTTCTTCCCATGGGTGCAGGAGTCTCTTCCTCTCCTGGTGGATATGTGACCACGATTCCTTTCTAGTGTGTAGGAGCAGGTTCAATACCCTGGTGGCTTTCCTCTTTCGTGGATGGGGGCCGTCCTAGTATCGGGACCTTAGCAAACTCTGTGTAGGCTGGACCCTTGTCTCGCCTGTCCCATGGGTGGAGAATGGGACTTGGAAGCTGGCAGTCTCTGGGTGGGCTGAGTTCTGTCGGGCTGTGCACAGTCCTCAGGTCTCCATTGTTTCTGCTCAGGCCACCCGATGTTGCCATTTTTGGACTATTGTGAACACAGCAGCAAATGTACGTACGTGAATGAATAAGTATCTCTGCAGTAGAATGGAGAGTGTCTTGGGCATACACCCAAGAGTCAGATAGCTGGACCATGCAGCAAACCCCTCTCTAGCTCTCTGGGGCCTCTTCACACTGATTTCCATCATGACTGCTGTAGCAGTTTGTACTGTTACTGTCAGTGGCTAAACATTCCCATGCTCACATCCAGCATTTGTCATTTATGTGAGCCATTCTGACTGTGGTAAGATGAAGTCTTATAATAGCTTTAATCTGCATTTTCGTGATAGCTAAAACCAGTAAAACATTTCTTAGCCATTTGTAGTTCTTTTCTCCATTTAGTTCCACATTGCACTTTTCCTTCCTATCCTAACTTTTGATTGGACTGTCTGTTTTCTTGGTGTTTGTGTTTTTAGCTCTTTTTACATTGTAGACACTAAACCACTATCAGATGTACAGCTAGCTGGGAAGGATTTTTTTCTATTCTGTGGGATGTATCTTTACTGAAATGATAGTCTTCTTTGCTGTACAGAAAATTTTTTTAGTTTCCTGGGTTTCCATTTGTCAATTCCCTCACTCAGCTCTAATCATGCATCTATATCATGCAGACAGAGTTTCTCTGTGTCCCAGCAGCCACTCCCAAATAACCAGACCGAGGCTTACAAATGCTCAGCCAATAGCTCAGTCTTGTTACTAGCTAACTCTCTCTCTCTCACTTAACCCATATTTCTTATCTACCTTCTGTCACATGGCTTGGTACCTTTTCTCAGTATGGCAAGTTCATCTCCTTCTCTCCTCATCTTCTCAACATTCTCCCACTCTTCCTCCTCTCTTTGTTCTCCCTTTGCCTGCCAGTCCCACCTAACCTCTACCTGTCCAGCGACTGGCCAGTCCGTGTCTTTATTAACCTAACCACACTGACAAATATTCACACGGTGTAAGGGACTATTCCACAGTAAAATGCCCCTTTCAAGGCTCAGGTATAATTGTGAAAGATGGAGTAAGAAGATCGTAAGAGCCAAAGGTAGTGGTTAACTACGATGAGACAGTGTTTCCTGGACGCTGCAGGGCAGTTGCCCATGATAGTTGTTACAGTGTGCATAAGGCCGATGAAAAGATCAAGCCAGACAAAAACCTAACTTGGATGTAGGAGGCTGTCACAAGAGGCCTACCACTATCCGCAGAGCTATTGGCAACTGATGTCTGCTGGAAGAGAGGAAAAGTCGGTTTTCTTTATGGTTGTAGCCCATGAGATGCTATCCATGATCCAGTAGGTCCAGTACTCATTCACACACTAATAGTCCTAAGTGAACTCAGAAGATTAAAAAAAAAAGACATAAAATGGTGAGGGAATGAAGTCGGGGGGATGGGAAGAAATTGGAGGGGAAGGAATGGGGGGCTTTATCAAAACACATTTTAAGAAATTATCAAATAGTAAAAAAGACACATTACATAATAATTAGGACACACAGTTTTAGAAGATGCTAGACACAGACCAAAGAAGAAGGGCCATGGCCAACCAAGCCTTTCATATAACGCCTGAAGTTGTGAATGGCAGCTTTATGCTAACCTCCCTTGATGTTAGGCACAACACCAACAGGTCTTCATGGACACAGGAAACCTGAACAGAGCTGTTGAATAATAACGTGTTTATCTTGATGACAGCATACTTGGGACAGAACACTGACACAGCATCAAGGGATCCCCATAAAATATACAATTTCAACATGCTTTTACCCACAGAAAACCTTTATTCTTTATTCTTAGCGATCGAAAGTAGGGAAGATCTGACTTAAATCCTAACTTGGCCCATCTTCACACGCAACTTTTCAAACGTGTCTAATTCTAGTATAATATTATGTCTTGAAAAAGCCAGTCTGGGATTCCTCCACCCCAGGTCCCTTTCGGGAAACTACAAAAGTGATTTTAAGTGCAAAAGATAGCACAAAGCTTTCATGTGCTTATTTTGGCTTCCGTTAGGGAGGTAAAAATCAGAGAACCAGATGCTACACATTTCTGAGAAATGACACCTAGTGAAGACTGCAAGTTAACACAACATAAAACATGGGAAGTTATTCTAGTGAGGAACAGAACCCTTGATGTTTGGATCTATTACATGAAAAGTAAAGAAAAAACCTTTCTAACATGGGTCAGATCATTAATCATTAATGATTAAGAGCATCAAAGCTGAACGCACTCTGTCAACATTTCAATATTTCTCAATTTTTGGTTGTGAGCCTAGCCTTTAACTGCTGATTATCCCTCCAGTCCACATTTCTCAATTTCTGCTGAGACTTAGAAACTATAATCAGAGCCGAGCATGGCTCACTCTTTAAGTTTTATCTTTCAGTTACTTCTTTTATATCCTCAAGCAAGTCGGAACTTTACCTAAGGATAACCTCTGCCTCCTTTCCCTCCACCCAATACCCTGCCTCATCTCTCTGTCAAGATCAAAAATGTTCCACATGGCTGCTGAGATAGTCTTTGTCTAACTAAGCAGTTCTTTCATCATGGCTATCTTCGAATGAATCACCAAGTATTTTTTAGGATTTCTCCATTCCAGCATCCAACATCCAACGCTTTTTTTTTTTTGCTGTGGGTCAATATTTAGGCTACAGGCTTGAAGAGGCATCGAGAAACGTAGCTGGGTTTTCTGTGGGACTCTAGGGTTCACATATTGTTGTCTCTCTAAATCCTTTCTCTTTTGTTACAGGTTTTTAAAAAATTTGTTTGTTTTTGCTTGAGACCTTTCATTATTTAAGCGTTTAACAATAAAATTTACCACTCTTGTCTGTCTGCTTGTTTGCCTTGTCCAACTTGTATTTGATGGTTGCTGCTTTATCTTATTATGTTTTCTTTTGTTGTTGTCTCTCAGAAGCCTGCTATTTTCTAATGAGAGATACTGACGAGAGGGAACTTGGAAGAATAGAGATGGGGAAACTGTAATCCGGATACATCGTGTGTGTGAAAAAATATTTTCAATAGAAGGTGGAAGAAAAAATTTACCATACAACATATTTTTATAATTTATTTTACTTTTACTTTATGTACACTGGTGTTTTGCCTCCATGAGTGTCTTGCAAGGGTGTCGGATCCCCTGGAACTGCAGCCACAGACGACACTGGGTGCTGGAAAATGAACCCAGGTCAGCCAGCGCTTTTAACTCCTGAACCATCTCCCAAGCCCCCACCCCAATATATTTTAATCATCTTTTCCTCTCCCAACTCATCCCAGACCCTACCCGACTTCATATTCTTTCTCCTTCTCAAAATAAAACGTGAAAATCAAAACAAACATACAACCTCCCCCAAAAACCAACCCAATAGGACGAATTACCTGGTTTTGTGTGTGTGCACTTTTTGTTTTGCATTGTTTTGTTTTGACTGCAGAATTTATACCTTCTCCCATGCAGGAAACACTTGGGAGAGGGACCATGGAGGCACATTTCAGGCTTTACAATCGTGAGTCCACCTTCTATGAGCGATGGCGCATTAGGCCAAGTCGCTTTACCTAGCTGGGACCTGGTTTCTACGCTTGTACAGTGTTAGCCATGATAGTAAATAATGTTCTGCTCTATGGAGGCTGCATTGCATCATATACGAAAAGGTAATGGGTCACCGTGGCCTTGTACTTAGTAACTGCTGTATTGGCATTACCAGCTGTGTTTACTATGTCTTATTTCTCAATTCCCGTAAGACCTACAACAATAAGCATCCATTGAGCTATTTGAGGGTTTAACCTAAGTTACATAAATCACCATGGTGGTGGTCCAGAGGTTGAGAGCATGTGCTCCCTTCACAGGACCTGGATTTGGTTTCCAGCACCCTCATCGGGCAACTCACAAATGCCTGGACTAGACTTCTAGAAAGTCCTGTGCTCCCACATATTTCACCCATGTGTACATGCCACACACTAACATACGAACAGACCGTTTAAACACAATAACTAAAAATCATTCAAGCCAGGCAGTGGTGGCGCACACCTTTAATCCCAGCACTCAGGAGGCAGAGGTGGGGGGTTGGATCTCTGTGAGTTTGAGATCAGCCTGGTTTATAGAGTGACTTCCATGACAGCCAGGGCTACACAGAGAAACCCTGTCTTAAAAAGCAAAAAGAACAAAAATGCAATTCAAAATTATTTATTTCAGGAAAAAGGTAAAATAAACATGAAAGGCTAATGGTCCCAACACTGGTTTTTCCATAGTCCCAATAGCGTGTGAGTCAGACTTCATTCTGTTTGTACACACTGCTGACGCTGGTTTCCCAGTTTACAACCCATTGCTCACAAACATGGAGAGTTAATGTAACGAACCGGAAGGTGCTATAATTAGAGTCAGGCAACTTAAAGAAATGTTTCTCTTTATTCTTGAGAATTATGGGCGTATGTTCCACCAAATACGATCACATCCACTGTCCATTTTCCTCCTCAAGCTCCCTCTATATCCCCCAGTTGGGTAACCTATATCTCTCAAAACTTCATTTTTTTTTGGATAACCTACTAAGTGCTATTAGTGTTGCTCATATGCACATGGGTGTGGGGCCATCCACGGGAGCATGGGAAACCATGCCACACCCCCAAGGATAATGACTTTTCCTTCCCCAGCAGCCCTCAACCCCCAGCTGCTCCTCAGTCAGGCACGGGGCCTGGAAGGCACCTTATGTCCAATTTTGGGTGGCTTGATTTTGTTTAGCTCTTTTGTCTATAGTTTCTGTAAGTTTATCAGTTTGACAGCCATGTCATGTTCAAATGTTTGCAATTCATCACGTTCTTCCTCTGGCTACCACATCCTTCCTGCCTCCTCTTCCATGAGCCTTAGTTGAAAAAGATGGCCTCTGTGTTGCAGAGCACTTAGCTTTTTATTCTCAGTGCTTTGATCAACTATGAATCTCTGCACTGATGGCTGCTCACTGCAGAAAGACGTGTCTCTTACCAATGTGGGGAGCAGTCCAGGACTATGGACATACACACAATAGAAGCAATTCAGCAACATGACCATCCAGGAAAATAACACTATCACTTTCTACCTTAGGACCTGTGATACCCCCAGCTGTGCAGAATAGTTCTATGCCAACTTGATACAAACTAAAGTCACCCGAGAAGAGGGATTCTCAATCCAGAAAATCCCTCCATAGGGTCAGACTGTAGGCAAGCCTGTAGAGCATTTTTTAAAAGGTGATTGATGGGGAAAAGCTCAGCTTATTGTGGGTGGAGTCATCCCTGTGCTAATGGCCCTGCGTTCTATAAGAACGTGGCTAGGCAAGCCATGGGAGCAAGCCAGTGAGCAGCAACCCTCCATGGCCTCTGCATCAGCTGCTGCCTCCAGGTTCGTGACTTCCTTGGATGATGAACAGTGACGTGGAAGTCCTCAAGCTGCTTTGGTCATGGTGTTTCATCACAGCAATAGAAACCCTAACTAAGACACTAGTCATGGGGTTTTGTCTAGGATTGCAGTACCAAGCGTAGTAGTTACTCCATAATAGGCATGCCACTATTGTGCCAGTAGGCATATCTTGCCCCTGCAGACATTTCCTCCCGATCAACCTATTCAGTTAACTTAAAAATATGTTTTTCTGTAAAAACAATAAATAAATACATAAATTGTAAATCCAAACAGAATTACAACACTTTCTCCCCTCATACGTCCCCCCACTCTCAGGTTGATTGCCTCTTTTTATTTGGTTATTATTGTCACATACATATGCATGTATGCATGTGTATCTATGTGCGTGCACAAATATATGCAACTACAATTTGCTTAGTCCATCTTCTTTTTGGTAGTGTGTATATGATTTCAAGGCTGATCACTCTGGATTGGAGAACCAATAAGGGGGCTTATCTTTGGGATGGGCTAAATTCCCTTTTTCCAAGTAATCATTAGTTGCCTGTGGTTCTTTGTCTGGGGGTGGGGCCCAGTGAGATTCTCCCATTTTCATTTATCAGTCTATTGATAATTGGTATTGTTTCAGTCTTGTTTGCACAGCCATTTCCAGTAAAAACTGTTTCACAAAGGACTTCCTGGTATTCCGGCCCTCTTCTTCCTCCATCTTCCCTGAGCCGTAGAGGCAGGAACTGTGATACAGATGCATCTCTGGGGGCTGGATTCCCCATGATCTGTTCATCTTTGCGTTGTGTCTTTTGTGGTTTTCTGTGATGATCTCCACTCTCTGTGATGAGGGGCTTCTTTGATGAGGTATGTACCATAGCTACACTTATCTGTGGACAAAAGGAGAACATTCAGCATGTACTAAGGAACTGGTCCCCAAAATCAATGGGAGTAGATTATTTTCTGAGGTTCATGACCCCACGAGTCCTAGGAAGTTGGCTAGATTTCCAGTACCAGGCATGATTTCCCTCCTGTTGTATGGTCCTACTTAGCACACACATGACAAAAGAGGAAATTGAAACATTAGTAAGAAGATTCTCCAACTCAAAATGCCCAGACCCAGATGGATTTACAGCAGAATTCTACCAGAGTTTCAAAGAGCCACAACTAATCTTTCTGAAACTCTTTTTAAGAAAAGAAAGAAAGAAACAGAAGAATCACTCCAAACTTGTTCTATGAAACCAGCAGGTATCACTCCAATTCCCAAACCAGGGAGAGACACAACAACAACAAAACTACAAGCCTGTATCCCTGGTAAACACAGATGCAAAATTCCTCAATAAATCACCAGCAAACCAAATACAAGCACATATTGAGGAGATCATTCACCATGATTAGGTTGGCTTCATTCCAAAATGCAGGGGTTGTTCAACACACACAAGTCAATAAATAAATCATAAAATGAAGTTTAAAGAAATCACAGGACCATCTCACTAAATGCACAAAAAGCCTTTGGCAAAATCCAACATATTTTCATGATAAAAGTCCTAGAGACAGTAGGCCAGGGGAGACTATGTCTCAATGTAATTAAAGCTACATATAACCAACTCACAGCCTTCATTATCCTATGAGGAGAAAAACTTAAAATAATAGTGTTAAAATCAAGAATGAGACAGGGCTGTCTACTATTCCCACTTGTCTTCAATACAGGCTAGAAGTATTAGCTGGAAAAGTAAGGGAAGGAAATTAAAGGGATACAAATAGGAAGAGGAAGTCAAATGATCCCTCTTTTGCAGATGATATGATGTTATACATAAGAGATCCCCCTCCCCCCAAAAAAACTAACAGAAAACTTTTAGAAACAATCAACAATTTTAGGAGAGGGGCAGCCTACAAAATCAACTTACATAAAAGCTGGTAGCCAACAGCAAAGTAACATAGAAAGAAACTTATGAACACACTCCCATGCATAAAAGACAACAAAATATTTCAGAATAAAACCACCAAAGGAGACAAAACAGCTGTATAGCAACAACTTCAAATCTCCAGAGAAACTAATTGAGAAAAGCACTGAAAAAAAAGGAAAGACATCCCATGCCATGGATTGGCAGAATGAATGCCACGTAAATGAAGATCCTACCCAAAGCAATGCACAGATCTGATATAATATCAGTCAAAACAGCTACAACATGTTTTTTTAGAAATATACAAACCCTAAAATTCACATGGAACCATAAAAGACCCAGACAGCCAAAGCAACCCCGAACCAAGAAAGAAATGGAGAGATTGCTATTCCGACTTCAAGATATGCTGTAGAGCTGTTGTGATAAAGACAGTATGACACTGGCCCAAATTTTTCTATTTTTTAAAGAAACTGACAGGAGGGAGGGGGCACTAAAACTCTTTTTAATGTGTTTGTGTAAATGAATGCATTGTTCTGTGTTCTGCATTTGTGTATTTCCAAAAGAGTTTGATGACCTCATTGTGCTGTCCTTGGTATGAATGGCATTGCTTCTTCAGATTCTGTGCAGACCCCTGAAAACCCCTCAGTACTGGGAACCAATGATTTATTAGAAATATGCCCACGTATCGCTTAAAACACTGCCCCTGGTTTTCAAACTAACAGCAAGCAAAGTGAACACTGCAGGTGATGTCACCATATCTAATGTCAAGTTATACCGCAGAGACATAGTAATGAAAATAGCATGGTTCTGTCACAAGGCAGACGTGCAGAGTAATGGGATAGAGCAGCAGGGCAGTCAGAAGTCCATACAGCTACAGCCCCATGAGTTTTGACAAACAGGACAAAAATACACACAGTAGAGAAAGACAGACGCTTCAACAAATGGTCTCAGGCAAACTCAATATCCATGTGTAGAAGAACAAAATGAGATCCTTACCTCTTAACTCAAACCAATCAATCCCAAAAAAGGGTAAGGACCTCAAGGTAAGACTTAAACCTCAGGATCCATTAGGTGACAAAGTAGAGAGTACCTTCTGAGACGGGTGTAGGTGTAAGTCAGGACTTTGTAAATAGGACCCTGCTCCCTCAGGGAATAAGACCAACAGATGGAATCTCATGAAATCAAAAATCTGTGCAGCAAAAAGAACTGTTAACTGAGGGAAGAGTGTGCCTAAGGAATTGGAGCAAACCTTTGCCAACTGGACACTTGACAGAGCATTCATGTCTAGAGTATACAAAACCTTAAAGTGTCAAATGGAAAACAATCCATTAAAAAAGGGAAGTGGGGAGAATTGCATGTGACACAAAATTCGAGAGGGAAAATACTGGGGTGGAAAGGGTTAAGAGACAATAGGGCAGGGGAGAGGGAATCAGGTGGGTAAGCTAACTACAGCAAAGCAGGCATGCAAAAGCCATATAGAAATCTATCACTTTGTATGGCCATTTAGAAACATTATGTGAAAATGTTTGTACAGAGGCACCCTGGTTGAATGGACAATGCTCCTCCCAGAAGTCAAAGGTTATTAAACGCAATTCCAGCACCAGGTATGGAATACCTTCCTATGAACTATGGGTCAGGGAGGCCCCAGGGGTCTCCAAAACATTATAGGCTACCACTGCAAATGCCCATGATTGCCCTCCAGAACTAGATTATAAGACACTCTTAATGAAGACACTAATATTTTGGTTGTAGGACATAAAAAACTAAGGTTTGAACTAACCTGGGGTCCATCCTTCTGGCGGGCTTTCACAATGCCAGAAGGTGCTGGGCAAGCCACTGGGGGTGGGGCGGGTGGGAATATCAAAGTCTCTATTGAGAATGGATATCATAAGCTATAATGGTATGCTCACCGGTACAACGGTGTGATGGCTGTTTTTGGGATAATCAACGGCTTTCTGTCTGAATTTGAGGCATGCTGTAGAGGAGGGAATTCATGTGCAACCATGGAAACCTGGTGAAAAAAACTTGTGGATTTGGAGGTTATAGGCCTCCGGGATGTGTTTACTATTGCTGTTTTGCTAAATGGACATGGTGTCAAACTGCCTTCTCAGGACTTAGTGCTTATAGATTAGCGCTGCTCTCAGTCTTCATCAAAGCATCCCCTGACGGCCACGGGCAGTGATGAACGCAAATGCTCAGAACTGTTAAAAGTGACAGCGTAGTACTTAGCCCTAAATGGAACATCTGCATCACTCTCTCCAAGGCTGGGGGATGGCGCAGAAGAAGGAGCAGAAGTTGGTGAGCACTGCTGTGAATGGCGTCTTCTGCACATGACAACTGCCACCGAACTTTCGAACTCACTGAAGCCGTGACTGACCACACAAGACCCTCCAGGCCTGCCATTACGTCATCACGCATGGGTGGAGAGGCTCCTGGGGCCTCCCTCCCATTGGGAAACCACCAGCTAGGGAGCTCATGTCACTTTCTTCAGTTGTGTAGCTACTGGCACGTTGCCCATATTCTAGAAAATAACCCCCTAACTCATGCTCACGCCGGCAAGCGAAATTAAACTCCGTGGATCAAAAAAGAATTCAAAATCAGAGGAGGCTTGTTGAAAGAAAAGGGGTTTTAGTAGGAAAGATGGAGTATGAGAGATGGTATTAAGGAGAGAGGTAAATGATTCTGGACACGCATGCACATGGGAAATTTTCAGAGAATTAAAAAAAATGAAAATGAAAAAAAAAGAGTGTGGCTAACTGGAGCCAGGTATGGTAATGCGTGCCTGACTTCCAGGCATTTGGGAGGCCAAGGCAGGAGGACTGCCTCCAAATATCTGTCCATCTGTCTGTCCGTCTGTCTATCAATTCATCTATCTACTGTTGGTCTGTCTATCTATCTACTATCCATCTATCATCTATTTGCTATCTCTCTACTACTTATCTGTGGTCTGTCCATCTGTTTGTCCCTCCACCCACCCACTCCACCCATCCATCCACCCACCCATCCATCCATCTGTCTATCTTATATCTTGGCTGAAGGTTCCCCTCAAATATACTTTTTTAATTTTTAAAATATTGGATATTTTATATTGAAATTTCCAACCTGGATGATGTGGTATAAAACAAATGCAACCAGGAAGTTGTCAGTCATGGCAGCAGGGCACCATCAGTCTCCTGAGAGTGGTGCTGGTGCCCAGTTCCCCCCATTTTAACTCCATTTTATCTAACATTCTTGGCCTGTTTTTCTTTTCTTTTCTATTCTCTCTCTCTCTCTCTCTCTCTCTCTCTCTCTCTCTCTCTCTCTCTCTCTCTCTCTCTCTCTCTCTCTCTCTGTGTGTGTGTGCGCGCGCGCGCGCGCGCGCGCGCGCCCATTCGGGAGTAGAACGCGTGTCAGGCTGGGCCACTCTCTGCCTTACTCTCTTGAAATGGGGTCTTTCACAGATGGCCAGGAAGCCCTAGAGCTCCTCCAGTGCCCACCTCCCACAGGCCACTCCCATACGTGGCTTTTTGTGTTTCCCGTATTTTAGATTCAGTCTGGGTGAAGCAACCACAGCCTGTGACACAATGCTTGGCTACCCAGCTACGGTGATCCGGCATGTGAAAATAGACAGATGGCACAGTTGTAGCGACGTCAATGGCTCCTGGAGGAGGCGCCATTCTCCTTGTTTTGCTTGCTCCTTAATACTCAGATATAGAATTAACTCAACATAAAGCATGAAAAGCTACTGCAATAAGGAGCAGGGTCTTTGAATTCTAGATATATTACATGGAAAAGAAGAACGTTCTCTCACAGGCCGCATCACTGATGACTAAGAACGTCATAAGTCGGGGCTGGAGAGACGCCTCAGTGGTTAAAAGCACAGCCTCTCCTTCCAGGGACAGCGGTGCAATTCCCCCCACCCACGTAGTAAGTCATAAGCCTTCAAAAATCATGCTAAAACACAGCTAACACAATGCTTACAATCGAAACCACTGCTGATTGTACAAGGGACACCACTCTCCGCATCCCAATGAATGATGGCTCCTCAGGCTCCCCTCAGTGTCTGGAAGACCTCGGTTCTCTTTCCACCTCTGGGTTTTTACTGCTTCACGGGCTTACTCTTCTTTTTTAAGGCGTAATACCAGTGCTGCTCTCAGCCTTAGTCAGAGCAGCAGCATTTTCCGAGTCTCATAACTGGTCAGAGTTGAGAATGAGTGACTGGTACATGCTCAGTCTATGGGACGTTTGTGTTATCACTTCCCACAGTGCCCAAGGAACATTGCAGAAGAGGGAAGGGGGCAAGTGTGAAAGCCAGAGGATGGGAAGGACCGCTGTAAAGTGCTGACATCTGGATATGACATTGACCAACGTAACCACGACATCACAGGAGCTGTGAAAACAAGACACAAAAGTAGGAGGGGAACCAGTCGGGAAGGAAGGTCTGGGTGGATGTGAGAGAGTAGCAGGGGGAGGTGGATATGTTCAAAATACATTGTGTGTATGAATGGATTGCCAATTATTAGATAAAAATAAGATAATGCCACTGTAAAAGTAGCTCAGGTCTGATCATGGTGATCTGGTCAACCTCTTACTCACCATATAACTCAGGCAGACCTTGAACTTGTTATACCACAGCTGGTGGCATTTCTGCTTCTGGGACTGACTTATCTCACCCAGCAGTTAGCCTTCTGGGTTCATTGGCTTGTGTAGAAGATCCTTCCTTCTTAAGGCAGAATAATGTGTTTGCACACTGCATCCAGATTTACCCACTCACCCACCGAATCCCTTGGATTGTTTCTAATTTTAGCTGTTATGAACAAATGCTGTTTTTTTTTTTAATTTTGTTTGGTGATGCTGAGATTGAACGCAGGGCCTTGCACATTCTACACAAGTGCCCGTCCTTTGGGCTGCACCCCCAGCCCCAGTACACAATGTCTCCAGCTCAGTATGACTGGGATTCATTCATGCTGTGTTTATCAATAGTTAACTGTGACTGAGCCCATTGCCCAAACACATTGCAGTTTGTTTATTCAATTTCTTATGGAGGAACACCTGGGCTTTTCTCTCCTTTGTTGTTGAGGTGGTGGTAGTACTGGAATTTCAGTTTGATTGCTATGAATAAAATTGTTGAAAATGTTTTTGTGCAAGTTTTTTGTGTAGAGAAATGAAGTGAGAAGAGACAGGGAGAGGGAGAGAGTGGGAAAGAGAGAGGGGGAGAATGTAGGGAGGTTGTGGACCACACGCAGGACAGAAGGTCCTGTGGTACCATCTTGGTGTTGAGAGGTAACTTCAGCGAACACAGACTCTTAAAGCCATTAGAAAGTTTTATTTGCTGGCCAGCAGGCTACGCGGGGAACTTACCCAAACTGTGTAGCCCACGCCTCACAGTTCTTTGCCCTTTACACACAAAATCCATATCCTGGTTGATGCACTTCATTTAGCAAAGACACTTAGCAATAAGTGGAGCTCCAGAAACCAAAGAGCAAGGGTAGCGCCTTTAAGGACTTTCCCAGAACTATGGACTTGGATGGAGTAGGTGTTTGTTTTCTTTTCTGGAAGGTGTGGGGATCTATGTGCCAGACTCATAGGTCAGAATGGTGTGTGGGTACCTCTAATATGGTGTCAGTTGTGATAAGGCCTGGGGTCCTGTTACATTGATACTTACATTAACAAATGTGACATCTCTCTCTCTCTCTTTCTCTTTCTTTTTCTCTCTGTCTCTGTCTCTTTCTGTCTGTGTCTGACTCTGTCTCTGTCTGACTCTGTCTCTGTCTGTCTCTGTCTCTGTCTCTCTCTGACTCTCTCTCTCTCTCTCTCTCTCTCTCTCTCACACACACACCCCTTTTTGATAACAACTGGAACTCTATAAGGCTTTCTGCATTCTTACATGATGTTGGGAGAGACCAGACCCTGCAGAGTACCATAATAATCTTAGTCTGCAGTTAGATAACTAACTTCAGGACAGTCAGTTCTCAGCTTGGGACCTAGAAGCTTGGGTTCCCACAATCCACTCTTTGCATGAGCGTCTTTGCACAAGAAGTCCTTCTAGCACTTTGTCTGTCTTCCCTGATTGGTGTCAGCGAAAAGGGTGCTGACACAACTCCAAATATTGGTCCCTGTGCCAGGCAATCCCATGCCACAGTAGCTCAGAGTACAAGCTCACAACTGAGACCAAGAGCAAGTCAGCCTCAATTACAGCAGACCCTGAGCAAGCACCAGCATCCCTGTCCAAGCCTGATTGCAAAGACTAAACGAGTCTCCCTTCCAACTGATTCTATATCCTTGGGGGAGGGGCCTTGAAATCTACCTGGCTCTGAACTTCCCATGTCTAGTAAGTTTCAGTTGGCTTCCTGGATTTTATGGATATGCCTCTTTCCTCTGGAGTGGGGGAGTTTCAATTCAGAAGAAATGTCCATGAGACAGAGACATACCCCTATAAGAGAAATGCTACTGGCCTTTCCTGTTGAGAATCATCATGATGGGAGGGCCATAAGAGCTGGGATAGGCGGGAAGTCTGCAGTGAAGGAGTCTCTCCCAGCTGCATAGGTAAGACAGGAGCAAGGGCAATATCGATGGGCATATTCAGTTGGAAGGAGAAAATTTCATGGGGTTACGTCCAACGACAAAAACTACAGGCAACTAATGGCTGATGGGAGAAAGAAAACCAGCCTCTGCAGGGGTGAGCCTCCTTATTAGGACAGGAATTTGTGTGTCTGTCTCATCTTACATATGGATACACTGAGACTTGCCTGAGGCCACTTGGCTCGGTGTGTGTGTGTGTGTGTGTGTGTGTGTACATGTATGGTGTATGCATGTGGAGGTCAGAGGTTGACCATAGGTGTGTCTTCCTTTATTTCTTCCGTCGTTTTTGTTCATTTGTTCCTTTGAGACAGGCTTTCTCTATTTAATCCTGGTTGTCCTAGAACTATCTATGTAGACCAGATTGGCCACAGAGATCCTCCTGCTCTGCATCCCCTTGGGGTGATTAAAGACGTGCACCACTATGCCTGGCCAACCACCCTATTTTTGGAGACAGGTCTCCTACTGAATGGAGAACTCACAGCTTTGGCTGGGCTGGTTGACCAGTAAGCTCCAGTGGTCAGTCTGTCTCTGTCTTCCCGCACTGGGATTACAGATACCACCAGCATGCTTGATGTTTTACATGTGTCCTGGAGATCAGAGCTCAGCTCCTTGTGTTCACATAGCAAGAACTTCTACCCACTAAGCTATCTCTCCGTCCCGATCCTGGGTTCAAAGGGCAGAGCTGGTGTCAGCACATCAGACTGTCCCTCCGGAGACTTTCACCCCAGCACACACACACAGAGAGAGAGAGAGAGAGAGAGAGAGAGAGAGAGAGAGAGAGAGAGAGAGAGAGAGAGAGAGAGAGAGAAGAGATAGAGAAAGAGAGAGAGAGACAGAGAGAGAGAGAGAGAATATGAACACTCTCTCCTTGTTGAAACCCAACAGCAATGTGCTAGGAGGAGGCCAGACATCTCCAGACATCTCCAGACATCTTGGTTTGGGTACTTAGAAAGTGGAGAAGTAGACCTTGACCATGCCGAGGGCACCTGCCAATCTCCACTGATGTCTTAATTGTATTGCTCTGTGCTTTTGCTGGGAGTTGGAGAGGAGCCCTGACTTTCTCCTCTGGGAAGCTCTACGTGGCTACATGGCTAGAAACTTGGAACATTTGGCCCTGTGATGGTCCTTTTCAGAATATCCCACATGAGAAAGCTAGTCATCCAATCTCTCTGCCCAGGCTAAGAATAAGAGGTGTGGGAAGGGTTTTGCACAGTCCCATTTGGGGTTGTCTTTGTTTTGTGTTTGTGGTCCTAGGGATGGCACCTCATGGCTTCACACATGCTAGGTAAGTCCTCTCTGTCACAGTGATATCTCTCTCTTCCTCTCCTTCCTATTCTCTCTCATTGAGACAAGCTCTCTTGCTAAATCATTTAGCAAATTCTGTCCTTGAGCTCTCTTCAGTCCATTTAGGTGTTGAACATTGAACCCTCTGCCTCATTCTTCTGTCCCGCGCTACTGTCTCTCCAGCAAGAACGATGTGGCACACTTAGGATCCTTCTGCAGAACAGCTTTAATGCATCTTGAGAGGGAGAGCATAAGCTTACAGAGCGGAGACCCCGGGGAGCGAAAAACCCAACCCTTATATAGCCCAGCAGTCCCAGCCTCGGACGTGTCATCTCCTGACTGGCTCCTGCTCGTCAATCCATATGACGCCACGGGGAGAGGCAGAGAGTAAGGGATGGAAAAGTACCAGGCACA